ATAGCAGCTGGCATGTTTCACAGCGATTTTCTCTGACATGCTTGCTCACATTCCTTTTTTTTTTTTTTTTTGCTGAATTGACTCTTGGTTTCATTCGCTCAAATGTGCCTATACGGCGTCAGCAAGACGAGTCAACACAAAAGCTCACAATCTCGCATTTAGTAAGGACATTAGGTAGTATTTAGCGCAGCGAAACACAAAAACGAGAAGGGAGAACACGACACGTGCACTACACATGTGTCCTTTTGTTGTGTCCTCGTCCACGTGCTGTGTCCTTGTCCTTGTGTTTGATTGCGATAACCCCCGTATTCTAGAACGCCCCTTCACTCAACGCTCCACCTTCACTTGAGAAAGCCGATAAAAGCGCCATCTCTAGGCAGAAAACGCCACTGCATATCAATATAATTTGCTATTCTTGCGTAGCGCAGCGACATTTTCATCCGAGCAGCGGCGCAGTGCGCAGCTCTGTCAACTGAAGGGTGAAAGTCGAGTCGTGGAGAGTTTGTGAATACGGGGGTAAATATTAACCAATGTCTTAACGACAAGATCGAATTTCTCCCCATGTGCAGAAAGGACAGTCTCTGCCGTACACAGTGAGACATTCAAAGCACGAACGAAGTTATTCGTAAAAATATAAAAAAAATGTAGAGAAGAAAGAGCCGGTGCTGGATAGAACGACAGTTTACATGGTGGAAGGAACGCATTGTGGGGATGTCCTGGCATTATAGCAGTGTATTTGAACAGCCGGTGGCAGGGGCACACGCCATTATTCTGTGTAGGAGGAAGCACGCGGTTCTTATATACCTTCTTCGACCTCCAAATGCGTAGACACCGTCGCGTTAGCCTACATAGCCAAGCGACAAAAAAGCTCCTGCTGCAGGCTCTCGGCCCTCACAATAATCCTCTCGAATGCGCTCTCGGCGACTCTGGCTCCACATACGCGCATCAGTTAGAGAACGATACTGTCTCTTAGAAAACCAGGCCGACACACGCTAGAGAGACGAGGACAAGAGGCACCATCGCAGTACGATATCACGTTGTTTGCACTGTAGCGCCACGTAAGAACCTTGTTGAGGGCCTCATCACAAAGGCGTTGCCAGTAGTGCCTGCAACACCTGGTTGCGCAGGCAGTCTCGCCACAGCTCCGGCGCAAGCGGCTAATTTACCGCGTGAGAGAATGTTAGAAAGTTTGATGCTTTCAGGTGACGTCTTTAGAGAGCCTTCGGTTAGGGGACGCTGAATGATTGCGTTGTGCTCACATACTCAAGCATTTCGTTACTTATGGAAGACAAAACACTCGGGGCTCTGAGGTGCGCAAGCAACTTTCGTTCATAGTCTCTGTATTATCTGGATATAAATTCGCGCAATCCGGTGATGCTTAATATTCAATCACCGTTGTTCTATATATTTTGTACGCTGTTTGCTGATGGACCTCGGGTCACGCACTCAGTATTTCTTAACGGTGGCCGAATTCAGTAGAAGTGTGATGCCAGATCAACCATGTCTAATCTTGTCTCCACGTGTGCAATCATAGTGCGTGAACTTTTCAATCAATAAATCAATCTTAAAGTGCATCGCATTTCTCATGTCCATCGTTGTTTGAACGACACAAGTTCTACGAGCGAATGAACTACAATTCATATGGCTGAGCCATTTGGCTGGAAGGAAAATGACGTTTATTGAATTTTTTCATCGGTTTGAGCGCATTCAAAAGAAATACGCGGAACGGTTTTCTTCCTGGGTATAAACACAGAAACATACAGAGCACATACCTTGACTGCAAATTTATAGAGTTATGGCCAGACCAGAAATACCGGAATGCATAGGGTACGTCAGAAGCTTCTAGCTACAGTACCAAAATGTCAACCCAATTTTATGTCTCGAGTGGTTGACATGATAGCGCCCATAAAATAGAACTCATTTTGCTTGCAGAACGGTTTCATATTTACTGGCAGCCAGCATCATACCGCAAGAATTCGAGTTTGACTGCAACGAAGACTTGTCTTTTGTTCAAGCTGTACTGAACTGCTATATTTTTCGCCAGTTAAATGGTAGCAATGCACTGCATTTATAGTCAATAACTTCCAACTTATAATATAGTCATCAAGCTAAAAGCTACATACGTAACTTATAGCCAATGCTGTTCATATGTAAAGCGGGATACTCTGAACCAACGCTTATAGAACTACTTCTCTGAATATGCCTGTGGGCCATAACTTCTGAACACACTGATCTCAACATTAGCTATAGCGTTGCCTTTGCATACGCTGTGCGCAAATCAGCGTTACCACTTAACAACTCCATTTCGTCAGCGTGGGATGTAACTGACCGCTGCTGTTAGACGACCAATTTTATCTGCCCGTGTGGGTGGCAGCTATTGACTAAACCGCGACGCTGCAGGCAGTGTCGACATCACAGCTGCACGTTAAGAAGCTGAAATCACCGTCGGCAGAAGGAAAGCCCGTTTATGCGCCACTAATGAGTCTCCTTGAATATTCGCGGAATCATCTACCCACCATCATTAAGACCCACGTAGTGTGCAACCGGTGCACGTATAACTATGTCGACGTGCTCAGGAGCACGAAGTCTTTGGACCACTCCCACTCTCGAACGCATCTGTCCGCGGCGCGTGATTCGTTGTCAATGCTTGAGCGCACACTTGCATCTTGGGTGTTCGGAAAGGATTTTGTGTTTCACAGCGCGAACACGTCGGTGTGGCGGGATATGCCAAGGAGGAAGGGTTTCGGCCATAGGGCGGCCGATATCACGAATACGAAAGAAGCAAACACTTCCTGCAAGTCGCGCGTTAACGTTAGCAAGCGAGGGAACGTACGATTTGAACCGTGGGAACGGACGAAAAGGCGCGAGTCGAAAATTACGCACTAGTTTCAGCATACACGTGCGAAGCATGCGAAAATGTCGTATGCAGAGCGCTTCCGATCTGTAGACGTAGGACGTGTGAAAACAGCTTCACAAGGCAAATACTGCTTCGTTGCACTGACAATCCGATCCAGCAATAATAAAAAAAAAAAAACCTGTATGCTTCTTTCTGTACTGTTAGATTAAACTCTCTCAAAAACGAATAAACATGAATAACATTCCAGAGCCATTAAATGTATGGATGCGGCTGTGCTCCATTGGCGGGACGGCGGCTCACGCCACGTAGTAGCTGTTAATGAAGTAGAGACTTTATGTAGCGAAACGCTAAATTTCACTCCTGCCTTGAGCTTTGCTACCAGTCAGATAACTTCCTCTTAATTATTTATACCTTTGAGGGATTTTGAATTGGTGTTGAGTTCTCTTCTCTGTCTCTTCTATCCGCTGAAACACGCAGGTGAAATCGTCAAGCGGTGGTTGGCTCGCGTGTTCAAGCTAAGTTCTAGGTTTTTGTGACAGCATCGCGGTATTTAAAAATGTAGTTTACGAGCAAGCATATTTTGTCGTTTCTGACGACGTAATACTGAAGATCAAGTTGATGTCATTTTTAAAGATTTTTTTTTGCAAACCATGACAACAATTAATAAGTTGAAACCATTTCCACTCGTCTCCGCAAGCACGGGAATTTTGACCCAGGTTAATCATCTCACATAACTGCTCCAAATTTAGCTTTGAAAAGGACTAAAAAGCAAAGCAGCCCAATCGGATAGTGCGAGATGGAAAGGACGCATACATCCTCTGCTGACGGGAACGCCAGCTGTTCATGCTTGCCAGCCTGTCACGAACTCGAAGTGCAGAGCGCATTGCAAATACGAATCGCAGCAGACGGCCATGTCTACGTGCTTCGTTTGAAGAATGACGCAGCGATCAGTGACGTAAAAGGCGCGCAGGTGCACTAAAACCGTAAAACGCCACGTGCGCGAAGGTCTCGTTTTTACCCGCGGCAACGAACGCTAGAGCTATCAGCGACAGCGAATCGAAGACAATTATCGATAATCTATCACTACCGGATCAAGGAGTAAAATCAGGAAAAAAAAAGCGTCTATTACAAGGACACGCTAGCGATTTCAGCCTACATATTTATAGGTATGGAAAAGGTGTGCGTGGTACGGTCATTCCCTGCCGTGAAAATAAGCCAGCTATAACCAGTTGGCCAATGTTTTCGAATGAAACTCTGTCGCTACGCTTATACTGTGTAGTTACTCAGTTACGTTCTAGTTTGGTATTGTCTCTCCACATACACAGCTCGATTCAGTGCTATCATCTAGCCCGTAAGTTTTTTTTTGGGAAAGGTGGGGATGCACTTGTTGAAGGTCTTGAAAAGAACCTATTTTTTGTTACTTATCCTCGGTAAAACATCCCCCTACATCCAAATTTTGAGGGAGGGGGCTATAGGGTTTCTACTTCTCCCTCCTGACTACGGGGGCTATCACTTACGAAGGTGTTCATACCTCCCTTGAAACCTTGGCTCCGGTGTCGTAAAAAAAAAAAAAAAAACAGTAGATTTTGCATGAGATATCACTAGGAGGAGGAAAAAGGGTGAGAACGAAAACAGAGTGAAAACGCGTGTTGTTTTAACCTTCAAACCAGTTTTGAAATTGCCGCAGATAGGCTCCGGTGCATGTGATCATTGTGTTACAAACGCATAAGTTAAAAAAATTCACGTAGCACTCATCACACGTAGAAAAAGTTTATCGCACTTCAACCAGCTTCAAGAGTACTAAAGCAGTACTAAATCCCAGAAATGTATATTTTCTCTGGAATCAGCTTAAAGTGAGCGTATATTTGTAATTAGTTATCATACAATCACTTGAAATTTCGAGAGAAAATTTAATCCCGTCGACAAACCAGGAGCTGTGGAAACGATAGTGCCGAGCTAAGCGAGTGACGTCAATAAGCAAGGAATGCAAAGCGATAGTACCACGGACAGCGGGAGAGATTGACCGCGAAAACTATCCACGCGTGACTTGTGGTGGCAAAGGAGCAATTAACTGAGAGACACAGTAGCGTACCCACGAGCATCGAGGAAGAAGAGAACCTAGGTTTGTCCGCTTTCCACTTACATGATCGGTCGCCGGGGGCTGGAACGTGTCCCAAATCCAGGTCAGGCCACCGCCGATGCATCGGCAAAGTCTACGCTCCGCGACGCCGGCCGGCACGTCGGCCCCAACCGCGTCGCCGGTCTCGAGCGAACACGTGGCTCGCAGAGAAGACGTCAGTCACGAGGAAAAACACAAAACTCGCCCCGCCGCACACGCATTGGGGGCTGTAATCACAATGGAGTACGCAAACGTAGAGGAAAAAGAAGTTTCACTTGCACTATTGTAGTGCCTCGCCGCCGCGGCAGCCGGTTTTCTGTTCCCGTTTTGTTTTCTTCGTTTCCAGAGGTTAAACTCGGCAGTTGTCGCGACGCTGCTCTTCTCTGCGCGCGACCTGAACGCACAATCACAACCTTCTAACACAATCGCGGCAGCACCTCCGGAGGCGGATAACTTGGCTCGTCCACTTCACCTGTTGCAGCCGCCGGATGAAGGTTGCGGAGTTAGTTCTGGGAAGCCGCTGAGTTTGTGTCTGGCCCGGCGGACGAGTTGCTGTCGTGGCGCAACAGGCCACGAGCGACCACCACTACCACCGCTGCGGCCGCAACGGTGGACCAACCCACGCGAGGAAAAAAGCGATTCTGAAAGTTGGCTCCCTCCGCCGCGTGCGTCGTCGCCGTGGCGGTGCAAACGGGAAAGGGAGAAGCGCGCTACGACGACGCTGCCGCCTGCCCGAAAGGCCGATCGGCGTGAACCAGCGCTCGAAGGCAAGAACAGTTGGGAAAGGAGAACGCACCTCCTTTCCCAACCACAGCGCTCGACATCACGGGTGCGCGTTTGTTTTGTTTCCCTTTCCATCGCTGCGTTTAGGTATTTTCGCGAGTCCCTTGCTCTTTCCCCTTTCTCTTGTCTCCCTTTTGATAATCTTGCGCTTACGGTGGCCAGGTTGGTCCTTGCCGGAGCACACCTAAAAAAGAAGCCGAGCGCTTCGTCGCGGGCTTCGAAAGACGGGTTGGGGAGCTTTGTTTGGGGCAGAACCTCCGCAAGTACTGGGGAGGAGGTACCCACGTAGCGGGGACGTCGCTTGTCACGGGACTCGATACTATTCCGAGCAAGACGCGCGGGTTATTATTATGACTGAGAGAGATGGCGAGGAATGGTGCTACGTTGACAGTAGGTAGCGCACTTCGCACACTACATACCACTGGTAGGAGCCAAATGAAGACGGAGATGGAAGCAGCGAAAGAAAAATCGTCGCGACTTGGACTCTGTCCCACCATTTTCCGCAGCTTGCTAGACGCGTGATTCAGCTGAGTGGGATGTCTTTGGATCGCAGGACTGGAGGAAGTCTGCTCTTGCTCAGACGATGCTTATCTCGATGGTACGCTGGTTCGTCCTTCGTGCGTGGAGTTACTTGAAGGCCGCGTGCACGGTGATGACTTAAGTTCGGGCGATGTACGAAAGTCACGCCGGCAAAGGGACATTAAACGCACGTGGCACCGAACAACGCGGTTCTTTTTCTTCTTTTTTTTGTGGTATTCATTCACGTTTTATCAAATGTTCCGCTTCTGATATCTGTTACTTGTAGTGGGGTACAACTATCAGTAAAGATAACTGATACAAGATAACGAGGAAGAAAGCATTCTAATAAGCAATTATATTCTCAGCTCCTTGGACATTTTCTCCATATAGCATTCCTGATAGGAACCTAACTGTACGCGAATCACCGACCACAGTAGTGCAGCAGAGTGTTGAGCAAACTGTGTTACCAGTGGATATTGCCTCTCATATTCTACATAGAGATCAATGTACGAAAAGACACGGCATTTCGATTTCAACCCCTTTACAGAGGTCATCAACATGCGCGGGATAGTAGCGCCTTGTAGCTACAAAAGTATGGATCTTTCTTATGGAGAGGAGGACTTCCTCCTTTCCGGGCTGTTGCACGAGAGTACAAAAGCCAACGTCACAGCCTCGCCAGTGCATTTTTGGGGGGGTCACGTGCACTAACAAATACCCAGAGAGGACTATATGGCGATGCCCAGGGAGCTTTGAGTGAAAAGTTCTATAGAAAAGTACCCGCGTATGCAAAGAACGGATATCTTATTTCACTAAAGGTACTCGTTCCCTTGGTGCTTCTGCCGCAATTGGTGTTTGGAAAATCAAGTAAGCAGGAGATTTTATGTATTCCGTGTTTGTCGAAAAAATCCAATAAAAGGAACCCATTAGAGTTTGTCTACCAAATAACGAAGCCAGCTTTGGTTTCTCATCCACTCACGCAAACCCCTTGACAGTGCAAGGGAAGGAAATATATATATATATATATATATATATATATATATATATATATATATATATATATATATAAGGTCGCAGGTTCGGATCCTGCCCACGGCAAGTTATCTTTTCACCCACTTTTCTTTCTTCTCATTTACATTACAATTGGCTTAATAACTTCCCCTATACCTTCCTTGGCATTATTGTCTGTTAGATATCATTATTATTGTGTAAAACACGAAAAATGAGCCCTTAAGTATACACTTGTTTTCCTTATATATATATATATATATATATATATATATATATATATACATATATATATATATATACATATATATATATATATATATATATATATATATATATATATATATATATATATATATATATATATATTTATATATTTGTGTGTGTGTGTGTGTGTACTTGCTGGACAGACCAATAGATGACGTGGGTGGTGAGCAAAATCGCGTTCATTGAGAGCGCTCAGCACACCGCACTATACAGACACCACAAGTCGTCGTCCTCCCGGTCCTTTGATCGTGTACGCCGGCGACAAAGTAACATCGCCCATCGAAAGTCGTGCGACAAAGACTGGCGCGGGGTCCGGGTGGTCGAGACTTCCGCACTGGCGCTGACAAACGTGGCTGCAAAGAGCATTCAGGAGTCTTTAAACGGCCGTTCGTGCTGGGAATGAAACAGAACGAGCGGGGCTTCGCGCGTCACCTAGCTCGAAACATGGGGGAACAAGAAAAAAAAAATGGAAACGAGAGATAAGCAGACACTCGAAGAAAAGAAGAAGCAAACTGATTTGACACTGGCCTTTCATTGCGAGGACGGGAAACTCAATTCCGAGCACATCGCACCCAACGGCCTCGCCTGTCGTCCGCACGAGAATTCTCATTTATAGCCGGCCCCGAGAGAAAGGGCATGCCACACGACCCTTTCCCTCTCGCTTCATCTCTCCATCGGTGAAGGAGAAAAACCATTACACCTTTATTTATAAGACCACGCGCGATTGGGCGGAGACAAAAGGGGGGGAGGGTACGGTGGCCGTACAAGAGGTCCAGAAACAACTAGGGAATTTTAGTCCCTTTTTTATTTTTTCCCTTCCCTTACTTGGACGTGTTACGAGGCAACCGTGTGGAGAGGAACGGGAAGAGGGCCTGACACAACCCGTAGAGAAACGCGCTGTGTTCCCGTCACTCGCTGCTAGACGGTAGCATAGCACATACTCACCGACATTGCCAGCAGGCGCGAGGGGTCACGTAATCGCTTCCGAAGTGGGGGGAAATGGGATGAACTGGAAGCCGAAATTAAATCTCGACCGAACCATTTGCGACAGGAGCTTTTTGCCGATTGTTTCGAAGCTGCGCGTATCATTCTGGTCCTCTTTTTTTTTTTTTTGTTACTTCTGCTGTAACGTAAGGAGTAACTGCTTTAAGGTACAACAAGAAAACAGTAATCGAGTACGAACGCGTCGCAGGAGGGTGAACTGAATATTGCATGCGAATTTACGCCTTGATAAAAGCAGCGGAAGTGCGCTTTGGTCACTCTGCCAAACCAGATAAGCAAACATTGCGTTCCACTTGGTTTTCCCGGTAGACAAACATTGATAGTGTTTTTTTTTTTCCAACACGATTTCACTCACAGTGTCAGGGCTCTTTTGACTCGCATTTTATACTTTGTGTATGTTCATTGCGCAGCAGTATTAATAATATCTGGGGTTCTCACGTGCCACAACCACGAAATGGTTATGACTATGAGGCAGGCCGCAGCGGAAGGTTCCGATATATGTTGAACCATCTCTGCCATCGCACAGTACGCAGGCCTCTAGCATTTCCCCTTCATCAAAATGTGAACACCTCGGCCAGGGTCGAACCCATGACCTTTGGCACCGGCAGGTGAGCACCATCACCACTAGTCTGTCGTCGCGGATGCCTTTTCGCAGCAGAAGGTTGATTTCAGCCTACCTGTGCTACATACTAATCTGTCAGGTTTATGACTCTGCCGTATCAGCCAGAGTTGACATTGCTGGAAAACGATCTCGATGGAAGTTCTGGTGTCATTACTTTGACGGTCAAGTCATGTAAGGGTGCAACTTAAATGTGCTGTCTTCTCACGTGCTTTAGCCTTTACACCGTGGATACGTCAAGCGTACAAGAGATTCAAGGCTTCACGATTCGTTCCTTGAAGACTCAGGAACAAGAGGGTGCAATACTGACAGCGGTACTCATGTAGGCCAGATAAGACAAGATATAGACTACAGCGCCGCGCAAAAAAGATAGGTGCAGTGGACAGCTGCATTCGGGCACTCGTAAAACACGGAGATGTTCATAGCAAGACATCAAGAAACGCTTTCTGAATAGCATTTGCAGTTTCTACGAGAGCACTGCACTGGATACCAAGATTCGGCTCTTGCAGCCTTCCACGCGTTTCTTCGGGGCTTTGGTTCTGGGTTTTGATATCAGCATTTTATTCAGGTAGTACTGCACACAAGAGTTGAACATTGACAGGTCGGAGCTACTGACCTGTAGAGTATAACAACGCAGCAGAATATCAACTTAAACGTTAAAAAAAGTAGTTCGTATTTCATTTGGCATATATACTATGAAGTGTCTAAAAGCATGCCCAGAATGAATGCCCGAGGATCTTGATAGAAGGTATACGCACGAATAGAATCTTTTCAAAAGGATCAAGATGTGGGCCAGTTGGTAATTCATTTTCTTCGTTCAGCGAACTGGGAGCGCAGAGAAAACACAAAGGACGAAGCGAGGAACCACACAGCGCTCGTGTTGTGTGGTTCCTCGCTTCGTCCTTTGTGTTTTCTCTGCGCTCCCAGTTCGTAGAATCTTTTCACTTGACTTTCGCCTAAAATCCTTACGACATGAATGGTAAAGTAAGATAGGAAGGTAGCCTCGCCGCGGTGGTCTAGTGGATAAGATACTCGGCTACTGACCCGCAGGTCACGGGATTGCCATCGCGGCTGCGGAGACTACATTTTCGATGCAGGCGAAAATGCTGTAGGCTCGTGTGCTCAGGCTGGGGTGCACGTTAAAGAACCGCAGGTGGTTGAAATTTCCGGAGCCCTCCACTACTGCGGCTCTCATAATCATATGGTGGTTTTGGCACGTTAAACACCACACATCAATCAATCATAGATGGGAGGGTAAGAGCGCATACGTGCTCTCGTATCAAGTGACTTAATGGTTTTAAAGGCATGCATGATTCTTAAACAATATGCGCAAACAAACGAACAGATTTAAAAATATATTTCGTCACGGGACCTGACCATGTTTATATGGGCTCCATAAACCTCACTGATGCGAGCACAATCCTAAGCGCAATCTCTTTCAGAAAGTAGCCAGGCTACTCGGCGCTTTCTTCAAACGTTCCATTCGGTAATGTATGGTGCACGTGTTTTCCATGGAACTCTTGACATTTCAGACTGATGATGAGTACGCTAATTCTATTCATTCCGGATATTTGAAATATATAGCCTACATCACGAACCTCCATTGAATAGCCCGTGTAGTCAGCAGGGTGGTCATGTTGGTAACGTAACCAGAATACTCAAAAATGAAGAAATGTATCTGACAGCTCACCGCGAATGATTCACACAGTGCCCATTGTGTCGGGAGGCTACCGGCCTCGTCTGAGAGCGGGTTTGACGTTCCCCCTTTCGACCAACACCACCTAGATAAGAACTCATTTAGGTGGTGTTGTTTCGACCATCTCGTGAAGTTCAAGTGCGACAGTGCGTTAGCTGCACGTGAGACTAAGTGCGAACACGAAAAAACGAGGGAGGGGTACGTTAACAGATACAAGCCAACACACAGAAGCATCGCCTTGTGCAGTCTCACCCTAGCATGCAGAAATACTATCGACATGGCAAACATAAAAGCAGCTCACAAAAAGATATAGTTCACGTGACCAACGGCTCGCAAGGAGCTTTGACACGTGTGGTAAGCGCAGTGACTGTGAGGTGAAACGGTGTTTAGGTGGCGCGCAGCAGCAAGATCACGCGTGGCCGTATTAGCTATGAGGCTCGATCAGCAGCATTGCGTGTCTGTGGTCTACGAACGTAACAGCCACGCCTCGACTACACGCCAAAGTTAACCCTATTATTATACGGATAGGAAGTTTGACTACAACAGACCCTACCAGCGTATATAGTAAGCGCGACTTATGTGAAATCCTTAATTCGTAAATTTCATGCAATTAGAACGTTCGTTGCTAACTATATAATTTTCCGGTATAATTTTCCGGCTCCAATGGGAAAACATTGACCAGGTTGATTTGATATGTGGTGTTTAACGTGCCAAAATTAACAATGACCAGGTAGACGTGACATGTAAAGACGGCATGTCGCCCAAGGCTTTGACGCCACGTGAGTGCCCATATATGTGCTACAAAGAAAGTCCAGGCTTGCAATATTAAGTCGCAATTCTCCTTTGCAGCCCGCGGTATACATATATAGTTTCTGTGCTTTATAACCTCATAGTTCAGTGAAGTTATCAATGGCTTTCGAACAAAAGAAATAATGTATCGCCCTCGTCTCGTTTCACAGCAGCCCACCACCGCCTTTTCACTCTATCGTAACCAACTCATCTATGCCCTTCTCAGGACCAAAGCGAGTTTCATAAGAGCTCAGTAAAGCACTATTCATGGTTACAATTAAAGAATGCACTTCCGTACGAACTTCGGCACTCGACTTCGGTCGTTCGTGCACTGTTGCTCCATCTATAGTCTCTATTCTCATGTAAACCATGTCTCTTGTAACACCGCTATCCAGTAAACATTGATCATGTTTCCTTTGTTCGTGAAGCGAATACAGCTGCGCAACTCTTTCCATGTAGGATAACCTAAGGTGACAGAAACTAACGAAACTATAGGCAGCGTTTAGATAAAAACTCCCAAGCATTTCCCCGAGGGTGAACCTGGTTAAGTGCGAATGCACGGGGGTGATGCTATGAGGGGGAGTAAAGTTAAAATCAGTTGGCGACGCTGATATCGGTGTCAGTAACGCGCCTTATATCCAGATGGTAGCGTTGCCTCCGGGACATCCATCGCACGACCCGCTCTCGACGGGAGACTGAGAGAGAAGGCGGGCGCGCGAGAGAGAGGGGTGCGCGCGCAGCTGCAGCGAGCGAGGAGAGCGGAGGAGCGAGCGAAGGGGGATATCAGCGTCGCGTCCGTGGCTTATTCGGTAGAGCGTCGCGCTGCGGCCCACCAAGTCCTCTTTCTTTTAAAGATAGAGAGAAGACTGCGGACGCTGCCGACGGCGGTGGATGGTTTGGTGTCGCTTATAAAGTGTATTCACACACACACAAAAAAAAGGTCAGGAGGGTTTTGGCAGGCTGCGAACGTTTCCCCGGTAGCGAATGAACGTGCGACGTGTTTACATCTGCAGCGTTGTATCAAGCCCCTGCTCCTCAGTCTGCTTTCAAGTGATTGAGGAAAAAAAAAATTATCACGATAGCAACGATAGTACTGACAAACAGAAATACACTTTTTTTTTCATACACAAAGAAAGAACGCAAATCAAGATAGGTACACTGTTGCTGTTCTTACGTATGCGCTACGTGATGCGACCTTCTAGCGAGCGCTCGAAGTGATGTAGGAAAAGTGACGCTATAGAATTTGATACGAGCAAGTTTTGCATTAGGATAGCATATTTTTCTATGTACCATGTGAGGTCTGCCTTGAAAAACCATATCTTGGCAAGAATGCAGCCGCATTGCGTTTCAAACTGAACATTACGTTACACGGGCTCGTTAACGATAGATAGATAGATAGATAGATAGATAGATAGATAGATAGATAGATAGATAGATAGATAGATAGATAGATAGATAGATAGATAGATAAATAGATAGATAGATAGATAGATAGATAGATAGATAGATAGATAGATAGATAGATACCGAATCGTGATTTTTTCCTGCGATGCAATTGTATTGTAATGATAAGTGAACACAACGGAAGAACAAGGAGGTCAAAAGGTTCTATTTCACAATAGATCACGCACATTCTTCATTTTTTTACCCGCATTTATACGAGAACAACAATCTGTATAAATACGAAGGACACGTGGAAGGACGATGACTACTGGGAACACAGCACATAATGATTGACGCACGATTGTCACGGAAGAACTGTGTATAAACATGCTCAATGTTTTTTTTTTTGTTTCTCTCTCCATTAGGCACAAAAATAGGAAACAAGTTCTTCAAATGGAGCGAGAAAAACGGGGGTCTTTGGCATTTCCTTCGTCAATGGACGCACTTTGTGACGCGGCGGGAAAGGTAGCACCGTATAACCGTTGCAGCAGCAGGCACACGTCTTAGACGGGTGTCTCGTTGAACGAGCCTTTGCGGCTCTTGACCGGCGTGGCCGGAGGCTTTGAGTTTGCCGCTTCTGTCGCCGTCATTGTTGTCGTCTTGGACGGGCTCTCCTTCGAGGTGAGGCGTCCCAGGAGCGATTTCTTACTACCTTTTTCCTTCTTGGCAGATAGGGAGTTTGAACGCTGCGTTAAAGACACATGAATAAACGTTTGATTAACATAAGAGCCTGTTCTGGCTCTTCTCTCTTATCTAGAAAACATGCGGCCACCGAGACAGCGATAACAGTGACGCCAAATACGTTTTGTTTCTTTATCTCAATGTCACCCACAAAGCACTCTTAAGAACAATGGAATAGCGGTTGTTTCTTACGCGAAAGTATAAGTACGTGCTTGTAGCATATCTTCTGTTGATCGCAGCGTGCTTTTATTGAGTGTACGCACACTCCTGTACGTCGGGAACGTCAACATCCCAACATACAAATACCAATTAGTATTCTTTGAAAACCGTTAATTAATAAAGCTTCGACCGGACATACAGAACAAATGCACACAGAGCAGAGAGCTATTGTGCTACAAGACCCCCAGAAAGGCCTAACTTCAAACGCCTGTCTATTAGTGGTCGCGGTGCTCCCTCTTGACTGGAACAATCCCTGATTGGAGAGGAGCGAAAGTTCAAGGGCAGGTCTTTTTGCATTGCACGCTCCTGGTTCCGGCCACAAAGTAGGAAACCTCCTTAATTTCAGATACATTGTGGAATATTATAAGGCTAGTCACCTCCTATATCCCACTCCCGCTAAAAGTTTAGAAAAGGCGAGCGAGCGCGCCCCCCGGAGGCTTTTTTTTTTTACAAACACGATGCTCTGCCCCACTACAGTAAAACATTTCGACCCTGTGATCAATGGCAGCTGCGAATTCTCTGGAAAAGTCGCTGATACCTCCCAAATGGCCTGGCCCTGACAGCGTCATTTCGCCCTAACCCTCAACTCCAATCTTACCCGGGAGGACTGGGAGGCTGCCATGGCTCAAATTTTAAGGGCTGGAAGGCCTTTGTCCGGATAACCAGGCTGGCGGCTTCAAACGATAGGGTCCCGGAACTATAGGGTCGCCATTTAGCATGCGAGCTTCACCGTGGGGCTCGCGCCTTTCTTTAAAATAATAAATGCTTTATCACCAACACCTGGAGGGTGCACATTCGGTTGCTGCGTACATTTGTTCAGTTACTCTGTTCCCTTCTCATTTCACCCTCTTCCATTGCCACAGAGACGCTGGGTAACGAGCGCCCTATACAAGGGCCCCATAAGCTGTGTCTTTTCCTCGCCACGTTCAATCACAGCTCCTGTCACTCACCTCCACACGCGCCCTTTCTTGGACCGGCTCAAGCGTCTGCTGGGCGAGCACGGGCCTCCGTTCGGATGCGCTCGGCGATGGCGAGTCGATCTTCTCTTTGCTTCTCGAGCGGAACGGCTTCGTCAGCCGCGCCCTCAGAGTGCCGCTCTTGTCTTCTTTGGCTGCGTGCACAAAACAACAACGAAAACAACAAGAGACCGTATATAGTCAGGAAAGAATTTATTCAATCAATTATGATTACCTATTTATTTTACTAGTGGGGATAATGAATGTTAAATGTGACGCTGACCAAGAGTGCAAAAAAATAAACAAATTTTCTGCTTCCTTAACACGGGAGCCGTCACGTTTTGTTTTTTGTAGTTACTGTTTCTTTAAATGATGAATACCAAAAGGTGGTGCCTTGTAGCGCCATACCGTTTATTTTTCGCATATCAAATCAAGTATACTCTACAAATAAGAAGTACAAAATATGACATACAGCAGAAAGCAAGATGTGCCAACACAGGACGACCCAACAGCGCATGAGCGAGATGTAATCGAGCTCATGTAATACAAATTCACATTTACGCTTATAAAATTGGACGTTCTGTGTAGATTGACATAAACAGAAAAAAAAAACAAGTAAGATAACACGATATGACATATCGTAAAATACGCAATTTCTACAACATATAATTATCAACACATACCAACTTTAATGTTACTCAATTTGCCTTTCTTTTCAGCCTTTATGGTAGACGCCCGTTCTACCTTTGGCTATGAGTAATCACTCACCGCATGAGTTTACGTCGAATTCTTGCTTTCATTTGTGATATTAGTGGTGCCTTAATGTATGACGACAGTATTTGCAACGCATACTCCTTACCGGAGTCCTGCTTTGGCTCGTTGATTGACGGCTTCTTGAGAAGCTTTAGGCGCTCCCTGAGCGTCTTGCGGTGTTTTGTCGCCGTCGTGACGTCTTCTGTGCTCCCTGGATTGCTCGAGTCGTTCTCCGAGTCAACTCTCTGAAACGAAAATTGCAATTATTTCGTGGTATATAAACTGGACCCAAAGAAAGTACCCGGTAACCGAAACGTATACGCGAGCTTAAAATTTTCGCGTCACTACAAGCACGCGCTGTGTGGCTATAATATACGCCGCGCACACATAGCGGGAGAACGCCAAACCAAACCGGAAATGAAATTGAACGGTCATTTAAATCTAAAAGTAACTCAGACAGTGTTATGAACAACGATGATGCAATGACTCACGCAACCAGGAACACAAGGATCAATGGGAAGATGACGACGCAGATGAGACAGCAGACGCTGCACCATTTATGAGAAAAATTTACAGTCGGGAAGGCAATGCGATTGGCATAACAAGTGGCATGTTTCTTAATTAAATTTTTTTGAGGCACCATAAGTATGCCATCCAAATAAAGCGGCAATGGGGGCTAGTTCGTACGTCATCATGCTTGTGATGCGCTGCAGGGTATGAAAAAAAAAAAAACGTAGATGACCGTGATGCGCATCCCTCTGTGTCGTCTCTGTTTGTTTTTTTCCTTACCATGCAGCTTATCACAAGCATGATGATGCCGTGCGAAAGAATGTGAATTGGGAATAGGCTGAGTATTCCATGCAGTGATTCGGTTAAGGAATCCCCAGCTATGCGACGTAGTCTGCTGACACGTGAAAAGAGTGAGGGACACTGCGGGACGTAGAATAATGTGCCATAACTAAAAATTTTCAAAAGAAAATCTACTGTAAGTTTGTCGGTTTTCTATCGTGAATGTAATCATGCGCACACTGTTAAGAGTGTATAAATACGTTGCTCAGATGTACAAGACAAAAAGACTGCGATTGTTTTAAAGAATTATGAGCGTTTTCTTTATTAGAAATATATCACTTATTGTTAATTAGTTTTTACGGATAGATATCACACAAATTAAGATTACTAGGTGTTATTAAATCAACTTTAGATCACTCCTCCATCTGCATGCATGATTGCATATTCTCATAGCTGCGATGCGGTGCAGCTGAGCATTCGTTCCCACTTATTTTGTCTGTATACCACCGAAAAGCCATTTTCGCGGGCATCTGCGTCTTATCAGACTTTATGGCACCTTTAACAACGAAACATTCCCCCAAAAAAGTGTCCACCCCACCTGGCCTGTGCACTCACCACAACGGGCCTGCTGTATCGCCAATGCCTGGGTGGCTCGGAGACGACCGACGCGTCGGAGTCGTAGCCCGTGCGGCCTCCCCTGAGACTGCCCTGCGATCCGTACGGGGTGTACACCAGGCTGTCGCCGGAGCCCCATATCTTGAGATCGGCCGCAGCCATGCCCTGTCCCAGCGACATGGTCTTCGAGTGCATGCCGCCGCGGGTTCGCGGTGGGGCCCGGATGACGGGCGACATGCCGGGCATCAGGCCGCCCTGATTCGCCATGTCGGTCGCTGACAGTGCCCTGAGAGGAGGAGCCCGCAAAGACTCAGACTCTGTTGTTATATAGTCCATTCAAGAAAAAGAGAGGTTAAGGCCAGATGTGCGCAGATGAGGCACCTGACAGGCGACACAACAATGCACTGTTATGATCGTTATGACTATATATATGTGGTACATTCATAGACTATTTTACTTTTTCATACCTCCTTTACCATTTTCAAGAACAGGGTACCTTACTGTAAACCCATGATTAACCTGCTTGTTCTGTCTGTCTGTCTCTCTCTCTTTATATGCCCAGTGACTTGCGCCTACCCCGCCGCGGTGGCGTATAGTGGCTATAAGGTACTCGGCTGGTGACCCGCAGGTCGCGGGATCGAATCCCGGCTGCAGCGGCTGCATTTTAGATGGAGACGAAAATGCTGAGGCCCATGTTCTCAGATTCGGGTGCACGTTAAAGAATCCCAAGTGGTCGAGATGTCCGGAGCCCTCCACTACGGCGTCTCCCATAATCATATGGTGGTTTTGGAACGTCAAACCCCCCATACCAATCAATCGATCAATCAATCAATTAATCAATCAATCAATCAATGACTTGCGCCTCCGAAGCTTGAGTATGCAAAATCGAAAAATGCATGTTGTCAGAGGCGCTTTCCTTAGCAGCTCCATATTTCATAAAGTAATGTCTGTTCCAATTTTAGGAGCTATAACCCGGGTATAATTATAGATCACTCCATTTAATGTCGGCCCCCTATGTGTGAACGGTCGTTTTCGCATCACAATCTTATCGACAAGCGACCACTGTGGCTGGGGATCAAACCCGGGCACCCGAGCTCAAGCACTGCACCTTAAAGTGCTAAGCTATTACGGCGGGTAGCAGCTCCGTCTTTGTAGCGGGGTAATGAAAACAATGGTAAATGCGCATGTTTAAGTTTTTACCAGTGCGTGCATTCCGCATCGCAGGCAGCGCTGCATCGTTCAGTCCAGTTCCTACTATCACGCTGTAATCGCTACTATAGGCAGACTAATAGAACATGACACGTTGTAGCTCTAAACAGGGTACCGAAGTTTACTAAGAATGCACAAAATTTTATCGTTTAAACGTAGTGTCAGTGGATGAGTCCCACTTATTTTCACTCTTAAGGACAATTCCGCCATATAGCGTCTCGTGTTGTTCACGCGAGAACGATTTTACAAATTGAGCCCAACGATTACAAAAGTCCTTCCATTGTAACATTGGGCTTTTGGAATTCTTATTACACGCAATGCTGCCCTAGTGTCACTGTAAATAGCCCCCTCAATAAATTTCTCAACTATTTCGTTTACTAAGAGTTTATGGCTTCCTATAAACATACTAAACACTGATTTGCGTGTGACTTTAAGGGTTGGTTTCTTAGTTCACGCAACCTCCATAAAAACCGATAAAATTGAAAGCCAATAAAGTTATTGAGGACGTTAACTTCACTGTTTTAATTGTAGTGTGGTAATTGCGATATAAACGCGAATAAAGACTAGCTCGACGGAAAGAAAACTTGGTAACTTGGTAACAACTTGGTACATCATGGTAACCAAGTTCATGGCAAATAAAAAACAATTGCTACCCCGAACAAGTTTTAACTCTCTCAAACGACTTTCTTTTGCTATTTTCTCAACTTAAGTGTAGATCTCATTAAATCACGTGACACAATGCCAAGTGTAGAAGCGCACTTGACGAATGCGCATTTGTTTCTTGAAAGCGTGGGCCACAAGCGTCTGTACCACTTGAGGCACAGAGCCAGAGTATTTACAGTCCGAAGTATTTTCAAGTACCCACCTTCGGAATGATGTGGTACGCCTGATCATGTCTTCGTCCCTGACAGGCTTGGAAACTTCTCTCAAACGCTCCGTCCTTTGAGCAACCTGTAAGAAAAAAAATAAGACGCAAGGCAGAGAAAATACGCAGTAGTCATGAATCAATATGGATTAACAATCATAAATTATCTATAGACCTTTGTATCGGGCGTGGGGGACCGGTCTGGCAACCAGCGCTCTTCTCATTTGTGGCTATTGAGCGACGGTGCTTATTGTGCGGGCTGATTCTCGGATAAATGGCATCGTCGAACGATTTTTGCACGTTTTTTTCTGCGTATATTTTTTTCTCTTATTGCACTGTCAGCCTGAAAAAGGTGAACGGGAAACCAATGTGCTGTTTTTGGTCGTTTTAGCAGCACGAGAAAAAAAAGTGCCGCTGTCTGAATTAGTATGCGACGTGCAATACCACACGCGCATAGTTTTCAGCCGCAGACTCTTCAAGACACTTTTTTTTGTTTTACGTTACAGGCTCTAAATTGGCAAGTGCCGCAATATATCCAGCATTCCTAGTGTTCTATATGGTCAAATATTAATCGGATATGCCAGATTGGGGAACAAGCTTGAACGGTTAAGTATGACTCTGTCCGGTAACGTGCGAAACAATTTAAAGCGCCACTCGTGAACCAGCATTCCTGGGTAGCCACCTGTGCTATTCTCGCTCCATTTCACTGGTATATTTCAATATGATGCGCGTGGTCTAAAAAATAGCGTGGTAGCCCAGCTCAGCACAGTTATCACTGGAATTGATGTAGCGTTATTGGCATATACACAACTTCCCGCCTTCACAGTAGGGTAACCAGCATTACACATTTAACTTGTGCTCCGCACCGGCCTTGTACAACCCGGACATTCAATGTACACTAGAGGAAAAGGACGTGGTGTGATCCTTGTCGTGGGGTAACAACTTCCGCAAAAAAGCAGAGTGTCTCGCATGCGATATGGGACATGGAAGCCGGAGAGTAACAATAAATGTTTCCCCACTTTGCGTGTAGGACAACTCTTCATTACTATTTCAGAAATAATATTTTTTAGGCGACCAGGAACCGTGTTGGACAAGTCCGGCAATGATATGCAACGCAGTTATTTCCCTTCTAGGCAACGCAACGAAAACAACGCTGTCAACTGCTAACTTTGCTGCTTAGCTTTGCGAACGACCGCAAGGATTTCACAAAAATAGTACATCTGCATGGTACGCAAAATTCTTTTTTTAATAGTGAACACTAATCCCCTCCGATGCCGATCATTGGCTCTAGCCCAACCGCGCTTCGTGCCTTAGTGGCAGACGAAGGTCTCTGATCATCTTGACCTGAAAGATAATCAAACATTGTGACTTTCTCAAAAAAAATTATTAGAAAACGACCAATAAGGAGTATATAGAAGAAGAGTGTCGGCGTGTCAACATCAGCATCGTTTTTATATACCCGCACCTTTCTGGAAACAGCTGTGATTTTGTCTACACCTAAGGGTACTAGATGAGCGAGTGATAAAAAAAGTTGACAAACAAGACAGTCAACCGCTTGCGAGCAACATAAAGACGTTATACTTTGCGCGAAATCGAGACTGTGCGCTCAGGTACGACCGCGTGTACGAGCGGTAGTCGGTGCAAAAGCACAAACATACCGCGAAAAAAAAAAGACAACTAAAATACTAGTAAAAAGTCGAAGAGTATCAGTATCTACGAAGAGTACCAGCAATTGCTTGCCCTGCTATGAACCACGCCTGTCTTATTTTCGTACGCGTGATTCGCAGTGCAAATCTGCATTGAGCGCTCTGTACATTGTTTTATGTTCATCTTGCTGGTCGTTAAAGCTAATGTAACTCATTCACCACCTTTGTTTTCAGTACTGCCTACACGATACACCAAATTCTGGCCTCGCTAATGTTTGTCACGAGCTACAGGCAAGTTTCGAGCAACTAACACGCCAGTGGTTCTAAATAAGAAATTCGAAGCGTATCAAGAGAGCCGAAGAAAAGTGGGAAGAACAAGTATATTCTGGTACTTGATGTGGATGACACGGTTGAGATACAGTGCTAAAGACATTACAAGCAGAATAATTAGACTGACGGTCGAGAGGCGTAGTTTCTGTTGATAAGCACCCTGTTGATAAGCACCTTTAGCCCTGTTGATAAGCACCTTTATGTGGCCTCTCCCTTGCTAACGAGGAAGCTAGCTACGACAAAAAGTTGGAGCCGACCCTAATTTTCGACAACACTCTTAGTCACGTACGCCTTAAGACAACCAATATAACCAGTTATAAAGCTTAAAAGAATGCATATAACCGGGATAACTAGTAATATACGTTGTTTTAAGCAGCATCTGACTAAGAGTGTAGCAGTGGCCTTCGTACATCGGCGTCCACGTGCTCTAATTCACATGCATTATAGTAAGACGGTAAGTTGGGCCAGTTGGTTAGGATCCATCGTGAACTTATTTACAGCGCAACAACAGAAAAAACACAGGACAGGGAAGGAGCAAACACAGCGCCGTCTTTTCTTTCTCTTTTGCTCCTTCCCTGTCCTGTGTTTTTTTTGTGTGTGTGTGTGTTGCGCTGCAAATACGTTCACATGTATTACTTGAGATTAACTTTGCGTCTTGTCGAACTGCCAAAGCGGATTGGGGAGGCCACTCGCTCAATTATCTTAGGTGAATATTTGGACCATTAATTGACCCTTGTTTTAAGTAATCTCCTTCTCACGTATTATATGTACCCATTACAACTCATAACATGAACCACAACCATATATTTCATGTCTGTTTTATTTCTGAGAATACTCTTTCTCAATACTCGAAAAACGGGAAGTGAGCGCTCGACCAGAAGCTCTTAGAAACGAAACAAGAATGTCACTCCCTGCTTGTGCCGCCAGTAATATGTTCGTGTGAAATGCACAATGTACTTTGATGCCGATGTGAAACACATCAACAGAACAGCGGTACGGAAGGCCAAAGTGCGTCGACAAGTTGAATGCGAGCCCCCGTCGAGAGCTATGCGCGACTGCGCGAATCAAGATGCGGCAGTTGCACAACATAGATCATTCCTCGCAATTAAGTCTGCGCGCAGACGCATGAGCATTACACGACGGAGGTCAACCGTTCTGCGCCCCGACGCGCCGAGAGGCGCAGGAGCCACGAGGCTTCTTCCAACGGGCTCTGCACTGGAGAGCGCGCTTGTCAGGCAAAGCGAGTGGCATGAGCAACTCCTGAGACGGCGCGCGGCCGCGAAACTAACTGCGCTGGGCTCGGCTCCAGCGATTCAAATCTGAGAGCGGGCGACCTTTCATAACGCTTGGCTTGGACGCTCGCCAGGAGCGGGGGAGCAGTCTGCTGGAAGGTGCGACTGCAACGACAACCAGGGCGGAGGAATCGCGAAGATTCGCCCGTGGTACAAGAAAAGAAAAATAAATTCCGATGAGAACAATAAAGATAAACAAAGGAGAAATTCAGAAGGCGCTTGCGCTTCACATTTAATGTAGTGCAACTAGATAGCGCTATCAGGCACCATGCGAATAGCCTTCGCTTCTCCGTGGACAGACGTCTCAGCTATACACTGTGTCTATGCGCGTGACATAGGCAGTAGGAAACACTTTGCAGTTACCGTTGCGAAGCACACATTGCGCGTCTGTAAAGTGATGAGCTCACCTACGTAGCTGCACACCATCTCGATGGTGTCAATTATGATGATTACAATGATGTTGATGATGACAGGCGAAGATGGGATGCATTTGAATATTCACAATAAAGTACCTTCTGAAGCAGAGCGATGAGGTCGTCCTTTGGTGTGGATCCCGTGCGCAGAGGTCTCTGGGCCGCCTTTGCTTTTCCCTGGTCGGTGGCGAAGATGCCCTCGAGCTTCACCAGGTCGGCCATCTTGTGCACGTCCTCGACCAGGTCGGTGACGAGCGCCTGCACGTCCAGCGTGGCGGCGGCACGATATCGGAGGTCTTCCCTCTCCTTGTCCATGCGTTCCTTCTCCCGACGCAGGCGATCATACTGCGTCTTGAGACGGTTGTGCGTGTCCTTCAGCTCTTCCAGGTCGGTCTGGAGCTGCGAGCCAAAAAAGAAAAAAAAGAAAATGGAATTGTTTGGGCCTTTAAAACAACGACACTGAAATGCATGTCTGTCATTGTATGGCGTTATTCCAAGTGCGAATACAGTAGTCGTCTTCATCACCACTCGACATCTGCTATGATTTTTTTTCAGGACGGTGCTTCATTCAACTGAGACTATTGATCAAATTGTGACAACTCTGACGTTTATTTATTTATTTAATTATTCATTGACTGATTAAAATTAATTTATTGGAGTCCTGCTAGACGCGCTCTAGCGCGCAGTGGGCAGCTCCCACGTCAGGTCCCGCCAGGCCAAGCCTGTCAGCCGCTTCGCGGGCCTGCTGAACAGCCTGAAGCTGGTTGGCCAGGAACCACAGATTACTCCCTGTCCTTTTTCGTTGGAAACAATGATTAAATATCCCCAAGAGCATCACAAAATGTAGCACGCGGAGTGGCACAATATATACGTAGGTGCAAATACAAACAGCCAGCACGAGAACACGCCAGCTTGTAAACAAATACGTTGTATGACCTACGTTGCTATCATACAGCCACGATAAAGTGGTCATGAAATTGCTCTCTTAGAGATATTATAAAGCTGACTACAATGTGGATTTATATCTAGACAGAGCAAGACAGCCCCGAGTCGTAGCATTATCAACAACGTCTAGTATACGTCTCCTATATTTATTTCCGCGACACTTGCATGCTATAAGGCCTCCCTTTTTACTGCGAATAGACATATTTTCTTGTAACCACCGAATATCCGAAATGTCGCATTCAATGTGCAAAGAGAACGAATGCCTACAGTTGCGTATAAAGATGTGCAATCAGCCCTGCGAAAGCTTCCGCGACTTTCTTGTGTTTTTTTTTTAACTAAATATATGTCAGGAGAGGTTGGTGTTTATGTGTGCCACCGGCCACTCCTCTTCTCTTACCCCACAGTTAATGTATTACGTGGATTATTAAGTCCTAAAACAACAATATGATTATGAGAGACGCTATAGTGGAGGACTTCGAGAATTCGGGCTTCTGGTGTTCTTTAACGAGCACTGACATCAAACAGTGCACGGGTCTCTGGTATTTTGATTCCATCAAAATGTGACCGCCATGGCAGGAATCCAACCAGCAACCCCCGGTTCAGCAGCCGAGCACCATAATTACAGCCCCAACACGGCCGACGGTTTTACATAATGGTGGGCATGGTTGGATAAGTGGACAGTCATTGACAATACAGATTGGCATATGAAGGTCCCAGTATCTCAATACAGAAAATTTTCACTCAACAGGAATGTTCACAAGCCACCAATATTCACACATAATTCACACTTGTTGTGTCTATAGTTGCAACATCCTAGAATACCTAGATGTATGCCAATTAATTTTTTTCCTAGGACAACTAAACAGTGAAATAGGCTAACTAAAAAGCAATTGCGTAGTGGAAACTAGTATGTATTTTATTTTTATTCAGTGCCGTAACGACATGCTGTAACGTGAACAACGATGTCATTATGAGTGAACAAAGTTGTATTATGCGATCAAATTTGTATTTAATTCATTGATGCGACCCTCCCACCCTACTCCAACGCCTTTGAGTGCTGCGGGGGATATCTGATGAATAAAAGAAAAAAAAAAGCTTGAACTTCCACACGTGTGAAAATGTTGTCGTTGGAGACAGTCCGCTTACCTCGACGATGTCTTTGGAAACGTCGTCCTGACCACCTTCGACCTTCTTGCGCAGATCTCTAATTGTCTTCTCGGCAGCTTCGCGCTCGGCTTCCCGCTGGGCCTCGGCGCTGAGCAGTCGCTGCCTGAGATCGGCAACCGCCGTCTGCGTGTCTCCGAGCACCTTCTGCAGGTCGGATCGCTCTTTCTCCCAAGCAAGCTCCAGCCTCGTCTTGGCGTACAGCTTGGCAGAGCCTCTGCTGGCCTCCAAGATGTTGCGTTCTTCGTACTGGCAGATGCATTCGAGCAAGAAGTAAGCAAAAAGACAAAGGTATCAGGTGCAATGACAGCTGCAGTGTTTTATAGTTGCTTATCACTGCTATATTGAAAAAAGAAAAAAAAAACTCACAGGCTCTCTTATGCATTCGCTTAAGACTACTCGAAGGCGAAAGCCATCCTTTCATGTTCTCTGTCGATGTATGGATGCAGTCTCGCCGCCTTTCAATAGCTTCTTGCTCCTAACGTGGTTTTGCACTGCCTCCAAGATTAGAGTTTCCTAAACCGGTTTTGCCTCCAAGATCAGACTTACATGCTTTTTTTATTACCTCCAAGATCGGAGTTACCTCACCTGGCTTCACGCTGCTTTCAAGATCGGAGTTACCTCATCTGGTCTTGCATGATCAACGTGATCGGGCCCCTTCGACCAAGCTACGGCGTCACGTGATGACATCATAGTGACGTCACAAATATTGACAATCTGTGGCGTAAAACGGTGACGTAATTTCGTGAAGATTTTTTTTTATTTCATCTATCGTCACCGAAGCCGTGAGGCGCAAGACGCCGACGATCAAATTCGGTGTCGGATGAGGCATCTCCTTAATATTGCGGCATGGCGTGTTCCTAACCAGACGAAACAATAGACTGAATATGTACATGAGAGATTATTTCGGGGATTGACGCAGCTGTAACATTAAAGGAAATGTAATTATGTTGTTGAACTAAGACACGCGCCTCATTTAATATCCGTTTATATAATGCCTCCTTCTACATGAGCGATATTTTATCGTTCTCTTTTCTATCGTTCTTTTCAGGCGTTCTCATCAAAACCACGTCACGAAAGTGTAGTTTTGATATCGTGATGTGAATAAACTTGGACTGTTCATCTTTACTGTGACATCCACTGAATTCCTCCTCATCAACAGCTACCTTAATTTATTTTATTAAGTTTACCATTTTTAATGTTGACAAGCACAATTAAACTAGAATTCAGGCTGGCCTCTCAGCAATCTTCACAATGATTATGCTATCGTTCTCAGTTGTCTTTTTTTGTTTAGTCATCGTAACCGCTTCTGCTTAAAACGATCGCTACAAGAATTCCTCAGAGCAGTGGCACCCACCTGATTGAGTTTTGATTTGAGGTTAGAAAGCTGAATCTCCCAGGAACTCTTATCAGCCTCCATCTGGATGCGCAACTTGCGGTTGTCAGTCAACGACTCCTCCAACTGGTTCTTGAGGTCGTCGGCGTGCGCGCGCAGTTCCTCGGCTTTCTTCTGCATCGAATCGAACTGAAAAGAGGTGCAGGAGTCGTGAGATCTCAACGTCTCGATTAATGAACAGTGAGCGCGCGTGAAAAAGTACACGTCTCAGTAGATCCCTCTAGCGGAGATGTTTCCCTTCTTTAATAGAATGACAAGCAACGTTCTCGATTCGCTGCATCAGCTCAGGAAATCCAAACCAGGATTTTTTGGGGTAATATAAAAATGTGCTTAGAGTAAGCAATAGAGATGCGTTTTAATTAAAGTGCTGCAAACTCGCGTGAAAATCCGTTGATCAGTTCAATGAGCCATTGCAAACGAAGACATGTAATATGCCTGTGAGAAAGTATGATTTTCTTCTAAATTACTGAATGAACATAAAAATTCGCGAGAAAAGCGGCATTTTCTTATGCTGTCCTAAAAAATACCATCCCCATTTAGTGGATCTCTTTAGCTATTTGAATCTAGTAAACCGGTTAGAGGAACTCAGTAACCTGAAACAGAGGGAAAAGAGGAAAAAGAGGTACAAAGGGATACGACGGTAAGTTAACTGAGCAGGCGCTGGCTCAAGAACAATGCGCTCAGCTTATAAAGAAGAGGAAAACAACGATGATGCTGTCAAGGTCAGAGATATAAGCATATTCACACAATCACAGCGCACGAATTCGTTTTCCATTTTCAACAAGTGTTTTTACTGATACAGGAAAGCAGGGAAAAGCTGGCAACAGTATGTTCCACCTGTTAGTGGTGCAAAGCCAAAGGCTTTGCAGGCCTGACTAAAAAAAGGGAGAGGAAATGCAGGAATGCCAACTAGTTTAGGAAAAAGGGATATACTAATCACACTGGGAAAAGAGAAAGGGGAGTTCAAAAGTTATACGTAGAGGGAAAAGGGGAGGGTGGGAGCACACACATTACCACTCCTCACACTCACAATTTCAGTACAGGTTTATAACCACCGGTGCTAATCTCCTGTCTGGTAAGTGTGCTCATTATTCCATAAATGAGAAGGAATTCAAATAGATCAAATGTCAACCAGGCTTTATTTTTGGCTTGGATGCTTCATGCAAAGACTGTAAGGTTCAGTTCCTGCCTGAAACAAAGCTGATTTTTATCTTTTTTAATCTTTTTCATTCAGGTTAAACGGCTACAACGCCATTTAAACCTACAAATCATGACTTCTATACGTTTCTTATGTTTAATGTTCACTTCATTAATCTCTGCATAACAAAAAGATGAGCCCTTGATTTGTCGTCTCCCCAGAAGAATGAAGCAGAGCCGTACCGCTTCCTTTCCCCTGGATCGTTCCTTGCGCGCCGTGCTGGCTCGCAGCTGCTCCATCTCCCGGGCTGCCTCGTCCAGCTTCTCGCGCAACTGGTCCCTCTCTCGCGCCAGTGACGTCACCTGGCCCTGCAGCGCCTGCAGCTCGGCCGCCATGAAGTTGACGCGGCCCTCGAAGTCGGCCCTCATCGCCGCCTGCTCCGCCTTGTGCACGTGACCCGAATGCTCGAGCCTCGCGCGCAGCTCGTGCTGCTGTTGCTGAGACAGCTGCTGGTTTTGCGGCACCGTCGGCTGCTGAGGCGCCTCCGCCTTGGCCCCACCCACTGTCAACGTGCGAAGGTGCCTCTCGGAACGCTCGAGCTCGGCCACCCTCTTCATTAGCTCTTCATTCTGCATGTACACGTGGGAAGACGCCGTAGTAGGCATCAAGAGAGCCGAAGAGGAAGTGATGGAATGCCGCCGCACAGGTCAATGAAGGGTATGGGGCACTCAAACGTAACAACGGTCTTTTATTTAGCCTTAAACGCTCGCATGGTTTTGTTTATTAGCTACAAACAAATGGAAAAGACAGGCTACAACAAGGCTACAACGGCATCTTGTTCTCTCAGGATGCCGTTGAGAAATCATTTATCACACCGAATAATCATTAAATCACATAAATTTTATATCTGATATTTTGTTTGTAATCACACCCTTAGTTCACTATTAAAGCGCTAAAGGTAATTTTTTAAGGCATAGCTTTCGAGTACGCGTTGTTTTGCTTCGGTAAACACAGCCCTGACTGCTTTCAGTATGCACATGCGCGGGTTCATTGATAGCAGTAATAATTAAATGGAAACTACTCTATTTACATATTGAAAGAACAGTTCCTTTTTTGATTCGCATAGCCGCATTTCACTAAGGAGTGCCAAGAGGCGGTGCCGTAAAGGCCAACAAGCCAGTGTGCTCTTCACTGCAATACGATTTACTATGCGGCAAAGCGCACTACCAATTCCAGAAACATAATGCATGTTTTATTAGAGCGCTTTACTCATCCAGAATTATCCCTACTTTCAATGACATTGCTTATAATGTACTATGTTATGAAAACTGTCGGAGATGAAGCATGCCTGAAGGTGAAATAAATAACAAAATGAAAGCTTTTTCATCGTTCCATGATGTGGTGGCAGGCCTTTTGATGTGGAGTTGCATTTTCTTGCAGATTTCAGCGTGATCACAGGACAAGGCCACATCAGAAAGTAAAACACAGATACAAGTGTTTAGCTATGCTAACTCAGCTGTAACCTCCACTGCCAATCTAAAGTTTGTTTTTGTTTTCTGTACAAAATTACGTCGCGATGCGATAGCCACACTTGATGTCATACAACTATCGATGGCTATACGCTCCAAAGTACGATTCTTAAATTAATAGCAGCCAACTATGATAGTGGAAAGCCACCAAAAATTGTACGAGAGTTTTCGTTCGTAGCTGTTTTTGTTAATGACAACACAAAACTATGAGAAGAAACTACTGTTACACCACTCTCGCACTCAACGGCGCCCTGAAGAGCTACCTTAAAATAGCGCACTCTTGCTTGCTTGCTTGTTCCTTTCTTTTGTGGCTCTCACCCACTAAGGGGGATTGGCCAAGAAGCCGGTGGTTAATGCAAGTAAATACCTATAGATTTTCTAGATTAGGGGAATATGATAACTGTGTTTTGACTGTGAAATTAATTTGGTGCAATGTCAGAAAGAAAAAAAGGAAAAAGGGGGGGGGGGAAATAACAGAATTTGTTGAATATCTGTGGTGGAATCGTTATATGAAATTCTCCTGAAAGTTCAATCATTGCAATGTATCAGCTAAATAATAAGTGGTAGTGTGACTAGTAAAATTCAAGAGCTGATCGCTGACTCAGCAAGGTAATCTTCTTGTGTTATATATGAATTCGCAGAGAGCCCCGCAGATGTTCCTGTCGCTGTGTCCCAATGAAGTGGTCTTCGATTTCTCACCTTTTTTCGAAGCTTCTCTTTTTCTTCTCGAAAACACTTCTCAGTTTTCTTGAGCTGTTCGATGATGGCGTCTCTTTCATTCAGGTTGGAGCGCATTCGGTTCCTCTCGGCCTCGATGTCCTTCAGGCGGGTCACCTTCGCCTCCAGTTCGCGTATCAAGTTCTAGTAAAAAGAAAAAAAAATAAGATCACGCGAACGAAATGATCGTCACCATTGTGAATGTTTCATATTTCATTCACTCGGTTTCACGGGAGAATTCCCTTCAGGGCTTATCACACACGCTTTTTGTAGCCTTCTGCATTGAATAATTATGAATTCAGCAATCGTAATTACTCGCATTTAACCAGTATTATTTAGCGGTCACGAATGTTGGCCGTTATTGACGAATATTCACTTCCCGTCACCTAATTTTGCTTGACTAGTGATGATTGGCGTTCGCTAAATAATAGTAAGTACTAAAGAATGGCACATGATGGTCGTTGATCCCGCTAGTGTTGGAACCGCAGTCTTCATTCACTTTTTATTGCGATAGCAATAATATGGATAGTCACGGCAGGTTCTTGCCGTAGCCGCCGCCGTGATGCACTGTATATGTATACGTATATATATATATGAAAACTCAAGAAAGAAAAAAAGCCACCTACGCTCGGCACCCAGCTTGTCGCCATGCGCCAACGCACGCTTATCTCCCACGCGTACTTTGCCCCGTGGATGGAGGCGGGGTGGAGGTTATGCGCTTGTGCTACGCGCTTATTCTTCGGTGGGGAGAATCGTCTGCCTTGGCCTTTCACCGGAACGATCGCGTTAGTAGCCTGGTCCACAAAGGTCACTTCGCTTGCTGGGCAGGCCCCGTTTGCGAAAAGAGCGAGCTTTTGAAACACAGTGATGTAACAACTGAGACACTTGTTAGTTTGCACTGATCTGGCATTGTGATCACGTTTCGTGAGTCGGTTTTATTTAAACAGCGCGTTAAGTGTTGAGCGGTAAATGTTGTTAGTTCGCTCTCGTCTGGCGTATGTTGTTTTCGTGCGTCATTTGTGCGTGAGCAGCACGCTTCACGTTTCGATATGCTAGCTGTTCTCAGGGTTACATTCCAAGATGTAGCTATCGCATTCATTGCTTCGTCTTGCGGCAAAGCTGTGAGTTTTTTTCCAATTGACTTAGCTGTAAACCAAGTTATTTTTTCGAAGTAATAATCTGCTTCGTGTCAGTTTTGTTGTACAAATCAGGTGGAGAACACAATACCTTCTGCGATCTTGTTAATGACTGAACAAAACTTTCGCTGATGCTTTTGCTGGACTAGCTGGTACATTCCGTTGAACAGACTTCTGCTGATTCAAACGATTCTGTTTGTTTGTCGGTATGTTTCTTTGTTCGTTCATTTGTTTGTCTGTGTAAACTCCCCTTCCGTTTCGTCTGTCTTCTTTATTTTTCCCCTCGTGGTGGTACGGCTTCTAGTTTATTCATAGTGAACAAGCACTGTCTCATGAAACCGAAAAAGCGCCAAGGTGTGCTTCAAATGTTCGAGATCTACTGACCTGGAACTCGGCCTTCTCCCGCGTGTACAGTTCCTGCCTGGCGTTGAGCGACTCCTTGACGGAGCGCAGCTCGGCGCTGATGCGCTCGTGCTCCTTGCGCAGCTGCTTGAGCGCAGCGTCCAACTGGTCCTTCTCCAGAGTGAGGTTGTTCTTCATGGAGAGGTACTCCTCCTCCAGCAGCTCGTAGCGCGTCGTCAGGTCGTCGTACTCCTCGCGCTCCTTCGCCGCATCCCTCTCGATCTGCTTGCGCTGCTCGGCGTGCTCCTGCTCCATCTATAGGAAGCGATGTAAAGTTCTGTAATGCTCAGCTTACAAACCATTGACGCGTAGATTAATGCGTCCCTTCTCAGCAGGTTCTTGCACACTTCAGTACGACCTTATACGGAGTCTTTGTGCAAAAATTTAATGTATCTGCATTAGGATTCATTCAGCAAGAAGGCAAGTAGTACACGTTGTTAACATTGTGGCTTCCCCCTTTACTTAAACCTCAACTTTTCTTCATTCTTCATTGACCTTGTGTATTGTCAGATGATTAACCATGCCGATTACCATACAACTGAGTACAATTTGAAGTGAAGAATTCATTGCTGAATTTAAACGTGGATGAGTGTAGGTGTTGCTCGGCTACATCTGCGTTTACTTTAAATCACACAATAATTGAAAAAAAAAACACTTTGGTTAACACGGTCTCTGTATTTTCCTGTGTACTATAGCAGAAAATGGGAAATGGAACATAACATGAATACATGAATTCACGAGTTCGGTGCTAAGTCGACATTTGGAAAGGAAAAAAATTTAGGGCGAGGGGGTGTTGGGTCACGTCTGTAGCCTCTGTTGGGCTTCTGAACTCTAGAACGTTACTCAGGCCTACAACTCAAGAATAGCCAGCTTTAGAATAGGACTCATAGCGTTGGCATTCGTACGGTACGGCACACTGTAACGTGGATAGCTAAGAATATAAGATAGCCTTATAACCCGCAGGTCATGGGATCGAATACCGGCTGTGGCGGCTGCATTTCGGCTGCATTTTAGATGGAGGCAAAAATTCAGTAGGCTCGTGTGCTCAGATTTGTGTGCAGTTTCGAGAACCCCAGGTGGTCGAAATTTCTGGAGCCCTCCACTATGGCATCTCTTATAATCATATGGTGGTTTTGGGACGTTAAACCACACATGTCAATAAAAAATATAGGACAGCGCATGACACATTCGCAGTGCCGACGAACGCTAACACAAAAGGTTTGCGTACCATAATATAAAACACTTTCATGTGCGGAGCTGGGTGCTGTACCAGTCATGGTTATTTTGTTTATCCTCAGCATCTCTCCGTGAAGCTCACCTCTTGTAGCCTGGTGACTAGGCGCCGGTGCTCTCTCTCCAGTTGGACCACCCTGTTTTGCGCGACCAGCACGTCCTCGGCCTTAGACTTGGACTCGAGCTCACGCTCGCGCTCCATGCGTTCACGCTTGCGCAGTTCTACGCGAAGCTTCTCCTCCAGGTCCTCCATCTTGAGTTGCCAGTCTTCTTTCTCGCGTCTCTGGCTGTTGCTCAGCTGGCGAAGCTTGTCCGACACCGTCTTCAACTCGATCTCTTTCTGTCGGCGATAAAAAGAGACAAAATTGTGTTTGCGAGACAAGGTAGTCTTCAAAACGACACCGTCATCAAGATGTCTCTTGAAATACTACTCCAACAACTAACCATTTGGCACATCGCGAATCATGTAGGACCTGACAGCCATCCAATCTGTTAGAATACGTAATAACTGCTGTTAATACGGTAAACGTATCTAACAACAAATGATGACAAATAAATCACAAGGCAATATTAGAGTTGTCCGCTAACTTACATCGCCAGTTTTACTTACGCCTCGTTATTCGTAACTTAACACGCCTATGGCATGTTCAGTTACGGATAACGTTGATAAGTTACGGTTATTGGTATAGATCACCAATAAACTCAAAAATAGTCGTCCAAGTGAAGCAGTTCTGGAGTTTTTTCGCACCTTAAAAACCTTAGGTGGCTATGGGGGGTATAAAGTTTCTCCTGTAGGCATTAATTGTGCTACTATCTGCAACGTGGCTCAATCCGGTACGACCTCGTCTAAACAGTTCCGAATCTCAAGACGAAATTGACGACAGAAAACTACTGATACTTAAAGTGTATATTCACCTGGCAGGTACACAAATTCCGCAGTACAACACTTAGCACTAAAAAAAAGTGGTGTTTCTGTTCGATTATTGAATAGACCTATGCATTATGCATATTGCATAACATTCAGAAAATTTTATAAAAACTATTATCAAAGAATTTCTCTCGGCTACACCATACCTTTACTTTAGTATATTTTTCTCAGCAATGCAAGGGGAGAGATTTATGCAGCTAATTATTTTCTTATCAGGTGATACGGTCATGTGACGTTACTCGCGCAAAACAGGCTAAACACAGACATGAAACAGTGGCTTACCAAACTTCATTAACTTACAAGAACGCATTGCCTTAAGTTTAAGTAGTTTTGCTTTCAGTCAATGAATAGCTAATTCTTGGCTCTTGCTGGTACGTGCTGTGGTTAGTCTTACACTGAACAACAAAAGGTTGCCTCTTCCCCTCGCCCTCCATCCCATAATAACAAACAAGATATAAAGAAAACAAGCACACTCATTTATTGTTGCTACTGTCGCTACTAGCATTGATGCGCCAGTGCAACCCTAAGCGTAATACATTTCCGAACATTTTTTTCGCAATATTCTCATTTGTTTGTCCGTACGTTCTACACAGCACAACGTGTGGAATTCCGTGAAGGTTCCACGCAGTGAGCTTTTTTGAAGTCAACGAGAATTACACACACAATTCGGGAACATTGTAAACGAATATGGCCGTTCGTGTAAGTGGGTACCTTTTCAGCCTTGTCAATGGTTTCGTTGAGTCGGTTCTTCATGGAAGTGTGCTCCTCTTGGAGGGTCTTTATTTCTGCCTGCAGAAACTCACGCACCTCCTTCATCTTTTTCTCCATTTTTTTCTCGTGCTCTTGCTTGAGCCTATTTTCCTAATGTGAAAGTAAAAAAAAAAACGAATAGAAGATTATCCGTACAAAAACAAGTGTTGCAAATGTCAGTCTGGTATTCCACATGGCAGGAGCCACAGAGCATTTAGTTTAGTAGGATAAGAGCTTCCACCAGTATGAACACAATCATTGAGCTCCTGTAGCTGAATCCGCAAACTATTTTGCTTGTAAGTGCTCGTTGTCAATCGCCGGCAGTCGTTGCTAATACGAAAAGCACCAAATGTGCCTTACGTTCTCACTGATGTAGGCGTGTTCTGCTAGATCATCCTGTTAATACAATCACCAACTTCTAAATAATGAAGCCACGGAAGGTGCAGGGGATACTGATCGTACTGTTCTATGTGTATTGTGCTAATTGTGATATAGATGGCAGGAAAGCAATGTGGACGAAAAGACAGCATGCCGCCGACAGGGACCGAGAGGATTACACGTTCGATGCTCTCACCTATTCGACTACAACGGAGGTCCTGCTCTCGTCCACTTATCGGGTATTTATGCGCAAGCAAACATGAGAATGGTAAACATCACCGCTCATAGCGATAATGGCGGGGATGAAAACCATTTTCTTTTTGTACGGAGGTAAAGCATTTAACGAGCAAACAGGTGACCAATAAGCCCTCGCACACTACTTGAAAGCATAAGGTTTTCCAGAACGAGACTCTCGCTGTGAATCAATGAAGGAAGGGAAGTTCATGGGCTGGTTTCTTTGTTGGAGAGTGCTCGAGGTGAAATTATAGAGTACCCGAATGAATTATAGTTGTGAGTTATGCGACGCATTATTAGATATGGCCGCGCGTATGCATGCGGCTTAACGAGCAAGTGTGTTCATTGATCAGATAAAGGTAAGGTAGTAAGGTATGTTTATTTACAGAAAGGCAGAGAGGTCGGCCTGAGCGATAGCTTGCTCTAGCCTGCTACTCTACACTGGGGGAAGGAAAAGGGGAAAAGAAAGATTAATGGATGACGATGGTGAGATAGAGAGGTGAGTATGTAGTGTTCTTTCTAGCTGACACACATTTTATAGCCGCGCACATAGTCCAGTTGTTTCTAAAAAGGTAATAACTGCTCTTGTGACCGCAGTTGCACTGTTGGTGTCTGGCCAAGGGCCCAACATGGTCTCATCAGTTAATGACCTACTGCGATATAGTTCAGTAGAAGAAATCAGTGTTTGTCGTTCACGTGCGTATGCTGGGCAGACACAAAATATGTGCTGAAGTGTTTCTGGCACATCACAGTGTTCACAATTAGGACCGGTGTCACTGCGACCGATGATATGTGCGTAACGTCTGGTGTACAGATAAAAAAAAAATAAGTGCTTCAATGGAGAGCAAAGTTGAGCTCGAATGAATGTCTAAATGCCAATTCCGATAAGTAACAGTGGTAACCTCAGTTCTACTGAGATTATCAATCAAAATAAGATGATAGAGACTGATTTTAACATGCCTTTTTTTTTTTGCACAGGACGATGTACAAACATCAACTACCTGCTTTAAAGGCATTGATTTTGAGGATTCGCTGCATTTTTTTTAGTAGTCTCGTTGTTAGCCTCGCTGTGACGAGGAAGGGACATCGTCCTTTTCTTATTTTGTGTTCGTTTGCTTTACTAAATAGCGATCAGTCGATCTACTCACTGAACATTTCAACAGTACGATTGCGTCACTGTCAGACCAACTTCGCTCTGAGCCAATCAGTACTGATGGCTCGGAAAGAGCATCTGTCCACTCAGTAAACAATTGTAATCAACTATTATCAAATACTAGAAATGTGAGATAAAGCTGTCAGAGTGTCAAGAAACCAGTCTGAAACACGTTGAAGAACGACGCGATAGCGACAACTTCGGCATAATTTACTTCATCTAAGGTTTCAGTAATTGCAGACATTCAAGAAGCTCTCTGCGCATGCCAAATGCGGAGTGTACCACGACGTCTACAGACAGGTTCGGAGAACGCGTTTCCGTTAGGCGCAGCAATGGCAGCACATGGCTCCACGTTCGGCGTAAACTTAGCGCAAGTGCAACGGCAAGCGTGGCACAGAAAAGAAAGAGAAGCACATGCATGGTAAACGCGCTTAAGAAGAGATAGATACGATCGAAATGGCTTGTTGCGGAATCGCGTGCACGCTGCCGCCGAGAGATGCGTCGTTGAAGAACACAGCGGCCACGCCCACTTCCGAGAATGATTGCATCACCGTCGTCGACGGGGACGTACTCGCTCCAAGGTATAGTCTGGCCATGAACGAGGGCGAAGCCAGAACAAGCTGTGGGTTACGAATGATAAGACCTCGACATTTGAAGGGCGAGGCCTTTTAAACACGATACCTTTCTTGGGCACCTTCGACGCAAAAAATGTTGTCTCTCTGTTTGTACATTTGTCTGTTTGTCCACGCTTAACGGTACCGGGTAGTCTGAACGTAGCAGCCGATACCCCAAACGGCTGACCCCATCCGCAGCGCCCACCAACGTTGCTCGAGATTCAGCGTTCATACTTGTGAGATTGTCAATTAAAAAGCAGTTATTGCGCTTATCTGAGGCACCATAACACGTACATATACTGTATGTGCGTATTTTACTAGAAAATACTGCCACGTTCCATTTCCCAAGTTTTTGTTATCATCCCAAAACACCACACGATTCTCAGCGCAAACTGCGCCTGCAGTTTTCGAGAAGGTTCCGGACTGTAGTAGATCATTTCGATAAGATCACGCCCACTGTGCGAACGGTACAGATTGTTCTGGAACCTACGCCACCGCCAGCGATAACGCTAGAACATTCGACGGTGGGAGTATAAATGCCGACGCGCTTCGCCGCTTGTCAGTTGTTGATCGAAGGCCGACGCTCCGTTCGCCGCTATCAGTCCGAGACTGCTATCTGTGCGAGACTGCTGCTGTAATTGGGCTTTCCGTTTACCGGGCACAGGTTCGCCCAAATAAACAGTTAAATCCCAACACGAAGTCTCCTGTCTTCGGCCACGTCACGACCCCGTGACATCTGAAGTCGATAACGTTATCCACAGAAGAAGCACTACCGCCGCGCACGCCGTCAGGACACCATGCCTCGAATGTTCTAGCGTTCTGCAAAACTGCAGGCGCGGCCCCGCCGAGGTGGTCTAGTGGCTAAGGTACTCGGCTGCTGACCCGCAGGTCGCGGGTTCGATTCCCGGCTGCGGCGGCTGCATTTCCGATGGAGGCGGAAATGTTGTAGGCCCGTGTGCTCAGATTTGGGCGCACGTTAAAGAACCCCAGGTGGTCAAAATTTCCGGGGCCCTCCACTACGGCGTCTCTCATAATCATATAGTGGTTTTGGGACGTTAAACCCCACAAATCAATCAATCAATCAAAACTGCAGGCGCGGTTTGCGCTGAGAATCGTGTGGTGTTTTGGGACGATAACAAAAACTTGGGAAATGGAACGTGGCATTACATACATGAGTAATTATAAAGACCGTAGCGTTTATCACGCTGCGCTGGCCATGCAACGCCTGCACGAAAAATCGAGTGTTTCCAACGCTTTGCTAAGACGACACGGTATAGTGGCACCTACCCGTCGCCTTGCGTTCTACACCTTATCACCTCTGAGAGGGGCGCGCACGCCCGTCTCAGAGACATGCGCTTTGTTTTCCAAGAAAACTGCCAGATGGCGCTCATGTCTCACGTGTGACGTGACTTGATGCGCTCGTTCGCCTCCGCTGCACGCTCGAGGCACTCTGACGCAGCGCCTCCAGAATACCATTCACCGATTTTCTTGCGCAGAACATCAAATAAATGTTTTCTTCACTCTCTCCTCACGCAAGACTATCGTCTTTCGACGACATTTGCAAATTGACATGCAGATACGGATCAATTTTTTCTTCCTTTTGACAACGGGCCCAATGCCACCACGTGTCTTCTTCTGTATTGTAGTGGTTTCGAATAGGAATGTCCACAGTACATGCAATAAATGGAGAAACTAGCACATTGAAGAAAAGCGTTATAAGCCGTTCAGGGGCTTATCCGGTGGTGGTTACGACTGCCTGAGAAATAGATGCATTTAGCCATATTTACTTTTTCATACATTACTGTTCATTTTCAGTGCACGTGTTATTACGTCTACTTAAGTGTCGTGAAGAACCGCAATTCTCTTTCATCCGGCATGTGAACCACGCTAGTTAGGAATGTTGCGAAATCAAGGTAGAGACACTAACATACGGCGAAAATATGTTCATCAATAGCTTACTGCATTCATTAGCTTATTCTGAGTGGCAGTTCTGGCTTAAAAAGTAACTAAGCCGTTTCGCTGCTACGCTCTATCCCGAGTTTCATTCGTTGCCGTGGTAGACGCGTCACGAACAGCCTATGGCTCTCCCAAAGTAGTGACCATGTAGTGTTCTAAAGAGTTCACAATTTATTCTGAACACCATTTTAGACACGGGCGACATTCGGAAAAAAAAAGAAAAGCTACAACCTTGATACTCAGGCTTAATAGACCCCATGCGGTCGAACTTTAAGCTGAGTTCCCCACTAGTGTCCTTCATAACGACATTATGGTTTTGGCTAATAAAATTAATCAATATATTTAATTTCAAGAATATTACCGTGAAAGTACGTAGAGGAAGAAGTACACAGAGGAGGGGAGTTCACAGACGAAGCGAGAGCAAATGAATGATCGGCACCTGTACAAATACTATAGTGAAAGCACTTGGAATGTCCCGTATAAACAACCAAAACACTCACTTTTTCTTGGAACTGTTTCTCTCTCTCAACCTCCTTGCGAGTCATAACGTCCAGCGTTTGTCTCATATCTTCAAGCTTTCGCTTTAACTCCTCACGTTCCTTGGTCCACATGATACCGGCCTGAGCCGGTGATGTAGCTGACGTGCCCACATCCTTGGATTTGGCTTCCTGCAACTGCATGGCAACACACAATTGACACCCTGTGACGAGTAAAACGGTGCTGTATAATCTCATAGGCGTACGGTGACAGGTTTTGCACGGAAGCATTGTCACAAGCTGGACTAAACTGCCTGAGTGCACAGATGGTCAACCAAGGCGCTGCAGCAGAAATACGAGTTTGGCACACATGGTGAGTGAACCCCGGTTATACGCCAGCAGTGCCTCTACAGATTTGCATAGCTGACATTGAAGCATTGTCATCGCTGAAAGCTTTCTTAGTTAAACGACGAGCGCAGCGCAGCCTTTTAGGGTTTTCACGCACTTCTTTGGGACTGTAGCACGTTGAGTGCTTCATCACTTTGAAAACCCATTGTAATCAAATGTAAGGATAATCCCTTTCGCTTAAGGCAATCCAATGTACTCGATCATAGGATTACGTACGTTAAAGAACGCAGAGTGAAATGACAGAGTCCTGTTCGCGAAAAACAACCGGAGTTTGTTTTATTATTATTGCTATTATTTCTGATGTACACCAAGGGGACGTACCTCCGCACGAAGCTGGCTGCACTCCTTCTTGAGCTGCGTGTAACCACTCTCACTTGATTCGAGCTTTCCTTTGAGAAGCTTGGCCTGGGTCTCGGCGCTTTGAAGAGATTTCTTGCGCTTTTCAAGCTGCAGACACAAACGAAAAAACGAATACTCGTGAGAACTGGAAACGCCTAGTAAAAAAGAACAAAAAAACATGACTGATCTCTCCGTCATAGGAATCGGAAAAACACGAAAGTATGGTATGGTATATGAGGGAGCTTGCGTAATGTCTATTGTTGTTTGGAAGCGATAGCACTGCTTAACTTGGATGCATCCACGTTGCCACTTAATCATACATCTCCATCTTGATGAGTAACATCCGTCATTATTGATTAGAGAAACCCTTGTGGCCATATGCTTGCGGTGGCGCTGATAGTTGAGGGTGAGAGCGGAACCAGAGAAAACAATCTCACAGAAGAGTGTGACTGATTGGGCGCCATACTTGAGGTCATCTTAAGCCCGAAGTTAGGGAAACGCAACGCACGTAGCGTTTTCCCTCCGGCCAGCCGCGATTGCTCGCGGGGAGAGCGTACGTAGGGAAAGCGGACGTAAAGCCGGACAAAGACGATGGGCGCCACATAGCTGTTTGGTATGGGTGGATGCTATGAGCGACGCTGACGCCCGGGAGAGTTGACCAAATCCTCCTAATTGTAAACGCACCGAATGAGACGAATGCTTGGAAACGATGCGCTGAAGGAACTAATGGCGGATACTGCAATCATGATGATTACTGCGTTTTACGAAGAACGCTGAGAGAGGGCAGTGGTAGATATAAAAAGCATAATTTTTTTGAAGCATGATGTCGTAGTGGATGGCATACCTGACATCTGTTGCCGTGGACCCAGGGTTCATTGGTTAAAATTCCATTAACAAAACGTCCTTCCTTTGTCTTCTTATTATGCGTATTTTGACGTCACTTCCGTGACGGAAATACAACACTGAAATCTTGGTGGACCCTCGTATAAAACACATTTGCGTTTCAAAATAGCATTTAGCATTTATAGACAAATTAAAACGCAAAAAAACTGCTCTATGTACTATAGAGATCGTCACTCCAGCCATGCCAGTTCGTGCAGAAATTGACTTGTGTATCACAACTGGTGAGAATGAGATTTTGCATGACAGTATCGAGGAACACTTGTTTTACTAAACGTAGTCTTAAGCAACTGTTAAAATTCTTTCCGTTTCGGTAGTGACAAACAGCGTTAAGATACATAAATTGCTGCCCCGCCGCGGTGGTCTAGTGGCTAAGGTACTCGGCTGCTGACCCGCAGATCGCGGGTTCAAATCCCGGCTGCGGCGGCTGCATTTCCGATGGAGGCGGAAATGTCGAGGCCCGTGTGCTCAGATTTGGGTGCACGTTAAAGAACCCCAGGTGGTCAAAAATTTCCGGAGCCCTCCACTACGGCGTCTCTCATAATCATATCGTGGTTTTGGGACGTTAAATCCCACAAATCAATCAATCAACATAAATTGCTAGCTTTTATATCATTCGCTATTATAGTTTAGAGACTTTCATTACTTGCTGTGATTAGGCAAAAATTTTAGACATGTCTCTCTAGTGGGTGTTTTCAGTGTAGCACTGATTTTGAGGCTTCATCTGTGACTTACTAGAGTGCGTAGCATCCTCGTTGGGATCGAGGTGCAGACGAATGAATATATCTTAGTGGACTCTTATCAGGTGTTCACTCGATAATGTCACGATATAATTATTGCCCCATGTTCTTCTTTGTCATTTCATAAGTGCTTCGAAGGCAGCGCTTCTGAGTTTGCAGTCTGCCATGCGTAGGAGGAGTCATGACCAATTGATACAAGAAATAAGACATTGCCATCATGAAGCTCTAGCACGAGGGCATGATATTATATATCAATGGCTGCGTGGACATATCGGTATTACCGGAAATCAATTAGCTGATGATGCAGCCCGCTCAGCCCATGAAGAAACCCGTGTAGTCTCGATTCCTCTATCAAAGAATGATGCAGCAAGACAACTTTACCTGCTGGCTCGAGATCTCACACGCACGTTCTGGTCGTCTATCAGCTTCCAAAGGTGTCAATTTTATGAACTGGATCCTTCGCTCAAGCTAAAGCTACCATCACAACTTTCCCGCTCCGATGCGACACTGTTATGCCGCCTTTGGTTGGGTGTTGCATTTACAAAGGTGTACTCCTTTCGCATTGGTATGGCAGACACTCCTACATGCGACTACTGCGGAGCTGAAGAGACCATCGAACACGTCCTGTGCAGCTACGACACACAGCGATGCCAGCTCCGGATGGTTTTGAATCGACTTGACCCCGGACCATTTTGTGTGCAGAAGACCTTGGGCATCTGCCTCAGTTGCGCAGAAAGCAACTAAAGCACTGCTACTTTACCTAAAGTCAACAAACCTGAGCGACCGCCTGTAGACTGTGTGTGCTCCCCGAGTGTGCTCGTGATTGTGTGTACCTTCTCATCTTTCTGCAATCTCTTTTCTCCCCTTTATCCCTTCCCCAGTGCAGGGTAGCAAACCGGATGTGCGTCTGGTTAACCTCCCTGCCTTTCCTTGCATCTTTATCTCTCATAAGTGCAAGAGTGCGTTTCATAAGTGCATAAATGTGGGCGCTAACGCTTACACTGACGACGACGTTGACGATGGCACTCATTCTGGCACTGCACAGGAAAAAAAAAATCAGCAGATCATACGTACCTGGCGAATCGACGTCATGCGAATCATGTGGAGGGAAGGTGACTGTGTTGCAATTTTTTTACTAAGCGACACGTCATGAAATGATGCTAGATATATATACAAATGTTGCACGCACAGACATATGTTGAAGAGTTCCATATGTTTATGTAACCAGTTATTTGCATTTGCGCAACGATGTCAACATGGAACATGCGTTTTAGCAACACCAGAAGCTGATATGAAGCGCTGAATCTCGCGAAGATGCTGGCCCTGAACACTTCTACATAAATCAACTTCAGCGCATTTCACCTAACCACAATTGATGCTAACCCGACGTGACGGCTGTATCGGTTGATATGTGGGTTTAACGTCCAAAACCACCATATGCCTCCGTCGGAAATGCAGTCGCCGCAGCTGACATTCGATCCCGCGACCTGTGGGTCAGCAGCCGAGTACCTTAGCCACTAGACCACCACGGTGGGGCAATGTGACAGCTGTATCAAAGGAGTACATGTGTAATGTTTATAATATTGGGCACACAGCACTGCAACCACTATTCACGTTTCGCGAAGATTATCATCTATTTGAAAAGTAGTTACGAGACCTGGCGTAGGTTTGTGGTAAAATGCTTCATTACCACGCAGAATAATTGGGTTTGATTCCAGCTGAGACCCTGACATTTATTGTTTGCATTCGTTGGGTCGACGCTGCCGATGCCGCGTATTTCTTAACGCTCACGCGTTACTATTGCCCATGTGTGTTTTCATCATGCGTGGGTAGATACTAAGTGTCAATCACCTGTGGCACATACCCGCATACCAGCGGCACATAACCGCATGTGGGTAAGTGCCACTGTCTGGCAGGAAGCATTTGACGGCATACGCGACGGGATTGGGACATTAATCATGTCTTGACCAGCGTGTTATATTTGTCAAACCACCTGCTCCTCCCATGCTAATTTTGGTTCACAACAAGTTAGAGGGGTGACCACGAGAACACCCAAACGTAAGCGGCTACGCTCACAGATACACTCAATGTCACCGAAGTTCACTAAGAAATGCTTCGCATTTAACACTTGGGGAGGCGCAAAGTACGCAGCGATGGACCAGTGTTTCGTACTAGAACATGCCACTCGCTTATAATGGCCAGTGAGATGCCGAAAACTCGGATTGGGCAGAAACCCCCCTCATGTTACACACACGCAGCAAATTTTTATTATTCAACAACGCACATGAGAAATCTTCCACTGGCACTACCTTAGAGGTCAAGATCCAGTGCCTATATATGTGGAGTGGCCAGTGAACGGTTGTGCAGCGCGAGCAGTAGCTGGTCTGCGTCGGCGTTGAAAGGCGAGAGAGGGGGGAAGCGTAGGAGAGGAGAAGGGGAAGGATGCACGCATGCGCAATGGGGGTGTAAACACCACCGGGACGAATGCCTAGAGGAGAGGGGGGAGCGAGCGAAGGTTAGCAGACGCCTCCTGCGTCGAGGTTGCGAGGCGAAGGAGGGGGAGCGTAGGAGAGGAGAAAGAGGGGAGCGTACGCACAGTAATGGTGGTCACGCCGCACACCGGATTCAGCTCGACCCTAAGCGGCTTCGCATCTAAAAAAAAAACGCAGTCTTGACACGGACAAGGAAAGAAATGACAAGCGAGTACCACATAGTCATGATCTCTCTCTTCTATTTGGTTCTCCTGATTCACCACTGAAAATCAACATTAGGCCTAGCAAACTAGCCCAATCAACATTATTATACATAGGTGGAGTAATGTCTGTGTCACTCTGTAAAGACAGGTTACCTGCGCATGCGCATCTGGCTCATTCACAGAAAGCTTCAAACAGCGTCCTTAGCCTCACCTCTTCCTCAAGCTCCTTGCCCTTGGACTCGAGCAGCTTGACGCTGGCTGCGAGGCTCTCGTTCAGCTTGGACATGACGCCCATACGCTGCTCGAGCTCCTTGTACTTGTTCTGCTCTTGGGAGAGCCTCTCCTCGAGCTCCTTCTGCTTCTTGGCCGCGGTCTCCTCGATGACCTGCAGCGAAGCGACCTTCTCGATGACGTCCGAAGCGACAGCGGCGCCACCTGCGGAGCCCTTCATTATGCTCTCGAGCTGCTTCTTCAGCGCGTCTGCTTTCTTCCGCTCCTTCTGCAAATCTGCTTGTTGCTTGTCCATTTTCTGCTTCAGGCACTCTAGTTCAGACGCCATCTTGGTCTCCTGCTGCTTCGCTTTGAGCTGCGCTTCTTCCAGCGCCTTCTTGGCCGACTCGACCTCCTCGGCCATGCCCTCTTGCGTAACCTCCCTGCTCCTTAGAGTCACGTGCAACTCGCCTGCGAATAAATGTGCGTAAGGCAAAAGTTCCCGTAAAGATGGAGGCTTGGAGGAACGAAATGATTTCGACAAAGAAGTTGACATTTTCGGACTCGTCGCGAAGAGGACGAGTTAGACTAGTCGGAACGTTGGCTCAGACGTCGTTCTTTCTTCGACAACTTCACATCGCCAACTAAAACAAGCGCAGATGCTCAGACTATGCCACAGCGAGCATTCTTGTCACAGGACATTTATTGCTGTCTTGAACGAGACATTGCGACTCAGTTATTCTAATTTTGCTCTTTTACGTAGCTGGGTTTACCCGAACCATTCCTGAAAGTGAAATGGTCAGTAAAATTTACTTATACATTTAAGCGTTTGTTGTGTCCCCATTCCCATAGAGCACCGTACCTGAAAATTGGTATACGGTTCACAGTGTTGTTCTATAAAGGGTGCAACAAATGCGACACAGCGGCCCAGAGACAATGATAAATAATACGGCACAACAAATACAGCGCTCATAGATGCCTTATATTTTTGCGTTGGTTATTCTACAAAACAATATATTCCCGGGGGACAAGTGTCTCAGTAACTAAAAATATTCCATTTTAGCTATGTTGACACGATCTTTCCGAGTACATAGACCTACACCGTCGGAAGCCTCGATTTTTCTTCTCCCTACTTAATCCTTCCTTCTACGTCGCACGACCGCAAGGATCCTGCCTATTTCCCTTAAGTAGTCGTGAAGGCCTTTAAAAACATGCTCTCATAACTAAAAACCCAAACGTACATAGTAGATTTCCCTACGGTATTTCCTGGCCATTTCCTTATTGCAAGCTGGGCTAAAAAATTGCGCTCCCTCAGGGCCATTTATTTTTATCAGTCACTGTCAACGCTGCTCTTGTTCGCCTTATTTTAAACGCCGGTAATGAAACTTTTTGACACCAAATTACGTGGCAGTGATTTATAGCCTCATAGGGCGACAAAGATTAAATGAAGTTCCCTGTAAAGCGTCCCCACCAAGTGGAGAGAAGCCCATATGAAAATTTTCGTCTCATGAAAACGTAGGAAAGAGTTTCTTTTCTTTTTCTTCAGCATTAATTTTGCACTTTAGAGCGAGACGTGCAAAACTTGGGCTTAGAAGTTGATAGTCAGCCGAGCGCCCACGAGCATGTTCTGCCAAGCGCAGCATTCACGCAGGCTTGTGAGCACTGGTCGGGTAGAAAATAAATATTCCCCTTTCATGAAAATTCATCCAGCTCGTGCATTTTTGTATAACTGTTCTTTTTTTAATCTTGATGTTCTTGTGCTATGTACCGCGTTCTCCAATAACCTTCACTTTCTTTTGTCGTACAACACATGTAGTTAAAATTAAGGCACGGCCCTCAGCCTTTCATCATCTGAATTCATTGACTGAAATAAAAGAGAAAAATAATGTTTCATGTCTCACAGTAATACATGTTTTAGCATTGCTGTACCGAGAGACAGGGAAAAGGGGAGTAAGAAGGACTAAGGTTAAAGCAGGTAAGTAAACGAGATCTTAACATAAGGTTTCAGAGTTGCGACATTACTTGACGATACTTGAATATCAAACAGAATTGTCATCTCCATAATATTCGAAACAAATAGCCAAGGTATAGATCGACTCATTGTACCTATATGTGCAACCCTTGATGATTGCCTTTTTTTTTTAGATAGTGTGTTGCTTCCTCTTAATGAAATGTATCTTCTTTGAACAACTGGCCGTTCAATCCCAATTATCGGCCTATTAACACACGCAACGTGGTGGTCTGGTGGTTATGGTACCCGCCTGCTGACCAGAAGCTTGAGGAATTGAATCATGGTCGTGGCGGCTGCATTTTGTTGGGGGCTCGTGTACTTAGATTCAGCTTTACGTTAAAGAACACCAAATGGTGGGAATTCTAGGGGCCCTCCCTTACCGTGACTCTCATAATATTATGGTCGTATGGGAATTCAAAACATACAATAATAAGTAATGTATTAACATCACGTTGTCATACGTAAATTTTGAAACTGCAATTTATCAGCCTGGTAAATGTGTGGCTGTATGTGTGCCTTTACAATCCTTGCCTACGACACTGTTTACGTTACGATATCTTCAACCAAAGCCGACAAGTTCCCTCTACGAAGCGCGTTGAAACTTTATGCCATGCGCGTGCTTGCGGCGTGTGCAGTGTGCTGCGATATATAAAGTCTGCCGATGCTCACTGATCTCGTCCTCCAGGTCCCTGATGATGTCCTTGAGCTCTCCCCTGGTGGCCGTCTCTCGGACGGCTCGTGGCGCCCTCTTCTTGTAGTTGAGCGCGTCCTTGAGCTTCTTGAACTCGCGGTTCACGCGACTGTTCTCCACTTCCAGCTGGACGATCTTGGTCTGCAGCGCCGACGTCTCGTCCTCCTTGGCGCGAATCTTCTTCTTGAGGCCGGCGATCAGGTCGTTCTCAATGTCGCTGGGCTTCTCCTTCTTGGGCGCGTACTCCTGGATCACCACGGCCGATGGTGCTGCGCCAGCGGCGACCTGCACGAAACGGAAAACGCCAAAGTCATTAAAACAAGTTTGATAGTTGCTTCAATGAAGGAAATAACTACCAGAAAATAGTAAGCACGGTTATGTGGAACGGAACAGAGGTTAACAGTTTCTCAACTCTGCCGCATACCACAGTCGTCGTAGGAGAGCACAGGGGAGACGGAGGCAGAGGACCAGGCTGGTGACCGGCTTCTCCAGTCATGTACGCCGCCAAGTCTGTCCCACACCTTTGCTTTATAGGACCTGTATCTTGGCCACACAATTTTTTGGCAACAATGGTGGCCGATTACCCCTGACGGTGCGTTTCAAAACCTGTTTAATTCTCGTATTTACCAGTAGAAAGCCAGTGCTATAGGAAGGCTGTTAGCAGCATGTAGTCGCTTCATTTTCATGGTGCATTTGTTATGAAGCTTGTTTTATTCTGGCGACGACTAACTGTGACGGCAAAGAGAGGAAGAGAACTGGCGTTGCGGCGCAACCTTACCCCCTTTTTCTTAATGAAGAACTCTGCCCACGCCTAAGACGAGGGTCACGAAGGTAGATCGTTACGTCATGGTCGCTGTACGCAAATGCCTAAGGTGTGCCTTTACTGCGCCTTCGCATCGATCATCCACGTCTCAACATCCCACTTTCATGACCTAGTGTTTTATAACGAGGTATAGCAGCAGACTAATGTCGTCACAGCGACGGTATTCATGAACCGCAAGCACAATTTTCAAGTAGTCAAACTCATGTAGCGCTGCACTATGCTTGGCTAAAGAGTTCATGTTATCAGTATGACAGTATAAGTGGCTGTATAACCGGAGCGCTCGCCGCATAACCGGCGAAGTTCGGCTACCCGAGCCATGCTGATAGTTGTATTACGCTGGTTCCACAATTTTTGCCGATACTGTGCCCGTGGATATGCAATTTATTGTACAATTTCTACAAGCTGTGTGTTTATGTATGTGCAACAGTGCACGTGACATTCTGGAACATTTGTAAACTATTCGAATAGCAGTAGAGCTTTTCTTTTTTTTCTTTTTTTTTGGAAGAGCGAATATACCGTTCGAAAGCCGAATCAAATAGAGTACTATTAAAGTTACTAATATTCATGCACCCCTGTAATTCCGTAAGCAGAAATATATCTCGTAATTTTCACAAAATATTCCGTTATGACGTAATTTCTGCCCTTTTCAATTTATATAAAAATATTGGAAGATGTAGGCTACGTCGGAGCCGGAAGTCTACCAACATGATAGTAGTATGAATCAACAAACAAAGACAAGAATAACTAAGAAAATAAAAGAATAAGATACTAAAAAATTAACCAGAAGCATGATGTACAGTCGTCAGATCCTAACTCAAAGAATCCGCAGCGAGTTCTGCAACGGTTTCATTGACGCTACCACCACGTAACTTTGAATAATGTCGCCGAGATGTTACCAATGCATGTCAGCATACTATCCAAGCACACTGAAGTATTATTTTGGTAACAGCGCCCAGCGCTTCGCGGCTGCAACCAGTCCAGGCTACACTAAGTAGCATTCGAGTTAAGCTTGCTAGCGGCTGTGCATAATGTTGCATTTAAAGCACAATCACGGACTAATGACATAATCCAGCACATACAGCGTGGTCACATTGGGAATAGAGTTGACATAGATAACTTTTCTATGCATGTAGTTCAGGGTTAGTGAGAGCACCACCTGGCGAGTATACATATATTGCTTGCTAATAAACAAAGATTCCCCAAAGTGAAAAAAAAAAAGCCCGATGTTTTGAGATCGCTGCGGGTCTCTTGTTCACATAGGTATGCGAACAAGAGCTCCGTAGAGACTCCTGCCTTACCACCCACTTCAGTCAACCGGTTCAATCCCAATTTATCCCCTGCGTCTATCATCATCATATGGCGGTTTTGGGACGTTAAACCCCACATATCAATCTAGCAACCATTTTACCCCATGCACTTCATTCAACCTCACTGCACGCTACCACCTTCGCTGTTTCATCAATATGTGCCAAACAGAGCTGAGTTTTTATGCACTTTTGTATATCGTCACTTAGCGATATGTTAATAACTCGATGCTATGCAAGGGAGCAATAATAACTGAATTAGAGCTTGGTTCGCCTTTGATGGCCAGGATGTGGCCTGGCCAAGGTCCAAGCAACCTGGTGATTGTGTGGGGTTGTTTATCGAGGCTGTTCAATCGATCACTCAGTTGAGAGTGTTGTTATACGTATTTTGTCATATTTTTTAGCGTTGTGCAGCTGCCACTGATCATGATATCTGCCACGATGAAATTAGCCGACATTCTTTACTTACGAACATTCTAGATAGTGCTTTTCTTTATAAATGGACCGTGTAGCCCATAATTAGAGCTCCTGTGACACGGCCACCAATGAACTCCATCAAACTTCATCAATAGGGAGCTTTAGAACAACCACCCCGCCACGGTGGTCTAGTGGCTAAGGCACTCTTCTGCTGACCCGCAGGTGGCGGGATCAAATCCCGGCTGCGGCGGCTGCATTTCCGATGGAGGCGGAAATGTTGTAGGCCCGTGTGCTCAGATTTGGGTGCACGTTAAAGAACCCCAGGTGGTCGAAATTTCTGGAGCCCTCCACTACGGCGTCTCTCGTAATCATATGGTGGTTTCGGGACGCTAAACCCCGCATATCAATTAAATCAGCTTTAGAATAGCCAACGGTAAGTTATTTATAACTACGCTCACCTAACGGGAGTCCGCAGCAGGGTAGCGTACGACGCATGCGCAAGGGCGCGAAACGCTAACGCAAAACTGTGCGTAAGCTATTCTAAAGCTTCCCAATGTAAAACTACATCAGGGAGCTTAACGGAAATGGAGGCGCTGATGTACCAAATCTTGCATGCAAGATTTTGCGTCTAATAACGCTGAAAACATTTCAATCATACGTGTGAATATAAAAACATGAAAATCACATCGAAGCCATAATTTTTTCCCCGCTTTTTATCGCAAAAGCCCGTGCCTTCAAGCAAACTGACAGTTACAAAAGTGGTGGAGACACATGTACATTTGTTTTGGTTCGCATTTTCTCTACGTAAACGTGCCCCGATTTTCAAACACAGAGCAAGGTGTTGCCGAGACCTATAAAGTCGCGTTTACCGCCTAGATCACGTTCTCATCTCCAATGACGGATGAGCACACGTCTCACGTTAAGTTCCCGAAGAAGCTTGCTACGGATTGGTCCCACAACAGACTGCCTATATTCTACTGCCGGCGACGACAAAGAAAGAGAAAAACCCCCAGCACTCAGTGCTATGACTCTTAGTAACGGTGGAGTACAATGAAGAGCGCCGCAATAGGAAGGAAACGACATACCCAGACGTAAAGGCAGTGGCGTAACTCAACGGCAGTCATTCTAAATGGTGGCACGACGGTTTCTCACGAAGTGCTGGGCACGGAGAATACGTGCACTTATACGAGCATTTTTCTCTCATTAAACGCACGTTACGCATTGTTTATACAGTGGAAAAAGTTTCAGCAATCAGAAAATTCTTTATTGTGTTGAATGTGCCTGTTTCGTGGTTGAAGTTTCTCCCGCAACTACGTATATTACTGGGGACGAGAGTACTTCATTCTGCCACAAATGAAGATAATGGAAGTCCTTTCCCGAAACGCGGCGTTTTACATCCTTGGCGTAAGTGAGACCGTGTGACGCGCACCACATTTCCGTTGACGTAACAAACAGGGAGTCAAACGTAGTTCGCGGATGCCCATATATGACACAACTAAGATGACCACATGCATGCTAAGACGACCATATATGCATTTCCTACCTTTTCCAGTTCTTCTTTAAGCACTCTGAGCTTGCGCTCAGCGTCTGCGAGCTTCTCTTTGAGTTCCATGTTGTCCAGCTGGAGCAGTTCTTGGGGGCCGGGTGGTGGCTTCCTGCTCAGGCGCAGCTGGCAGCGCTTGTTTTCGGCCATGAGCTTGTCGTTCTCGGTTTCCAGGTCCTGTGCCTTCTGACGGAGAATGTTGGCTTCCTGTTCCACCAGCTGCAACTGCCGCTTCAAGTCCACCTGAACATGACGAGGACAGTGGCAATGTGGGCTTGTTTATCGATCATCATGCATTGAGGTGGAGCGCAGAGATAACAAGTACATCTGAAGCGTTTCGGCTTCATTACTTCTGCGCATTTGCAACGTACCAAACAAGTAAGGGGAGTGACTACACTGAAGTAAGATGTAGTTCGAGACTTATTGGTATCTGAGCAAGCGAGAGGAAGTACACACTGTTCTTATACGAAAGTCATCTGAAGCTTAGAGGGAGCACGCTGACGCTCGCGAATTGACGAGAATGAAATATTAAAGTGTGTAGAGCTTTTTACACTAAATCGTCATCGTAAAAACAGAAAAAAAAGCAATCACTACTGTGAGGCATAGAGTCATAAGCTATAAAAAAAGGCGTAAAAACAAAATGAGGGCAACGGGACCTCCTCAAAGTTTCGTTGCCAACTCGTCGTGATTTCAAGGTATTTTGACAGCGTTAGTTGAGTGCTAGACCGAACGAAATTGTGCAGCGCTATACACAGGACAAGGACGACAAACACTGTTTGCAAGCGGTTACTTAGTTTGTACACGATCACTCCATCCAACCTTAGGAGCTGTTCTGGTGTAGCATGGTAGCAACCAGCTCATCAGCCCACTTTTACTGGTCCATATGACAACCTGTTTGTAAAGATGGACTCTTACTGCCTTCTAAAGCTATTAGGGACCGTATTTTACAAACTTCAAGAAACTTAACCACAACTGTAACCCTCGCTAGTGACGTGGCCGGAGGTTGAGTTAGGAGGGAGGAGGCATCTCTGAATTTTTTTTTCAGTTTAACACCTGCATACACACACGTTTACATACAAACGCATGCACGAACATACATAAATTATTATGAAATTCTCTCCCCCTAAAATTTTTGCTGCGCACTCTCCATCGCCTCGTAAAATCATATTCAAGAAGTTTTCACTTTTTTTCGGCAATTCCCGAAATCTTTTATTGGCAATGGTCTAAGGAACCCCAAACAGAACACGTTTTTTATGCGTATTATTATAGTGCAGTTCCACAATCCCGAAAAAATGCCTCTCTTACCACGAGACGATGCTCAGTAAGTGAGCAAACGCGCAAGAAGAAAATGTGGGTGTTCCTTCAACTTTGACGGAGTCCACTAGTACTAGATGGTTTCTAACCAGTAAAAATGATGTACATTGGCATCTGTGGGGAAATAGACCTAAGACACGAACTTTCCGAAATTTCGTCGAGCCAATGTAAAGAAAAAACGAAACATAACTTTTGAAATCAGTGAAGTCACTTGCGGAGGCTACAGCGCGAAATTCAAAAACGAAACTCCAACTTCGATTTGCTCCTTTACTAATGAACTTATTATGGTGAAACTTACGACGGTTGGAGTTCTCGGAGCACAGTTCACCGATCCAAACTAAGTCTTTGTTTCACTTTGGTGTGTCTTTAAAAGTGCGCCTATTCGCACATGACCACTTTCGCAAGGTCGTACGGTACCTGCAGTTCGCTGTCCAGGGAGCGGCTCCGCACGATGACCTTGGAGGCCTTCCGCCGGTGCACCTCGACCTCCGTTTGCAGCCGCTCGTTCTCTCGCTCCTTCTCGATGAGCTTCTGGCGCAGCTCGCGTGCCTCGTACTCGAGCAGTTTGGCCTTCTGTCTATGGTACACGTCCACGTCGGCCTCGTTCTTCGGGGGCGCCGGCAGCTCCACCTTCGTGAACGGTTGGCTTACTAGCTTCTCCTACAGAAAGGCACGTGAGGACGCCGTTTTACTGAGTTGCTACACTATATACTCCGCAAGTCGAACAATCAAGAAAGCTGCCAGCTCAAAGAATCGGACTCTAGTCCTTCACGTAAGAGTCCGTTAGTCGCACTCGCATGTTGTGGAGCCGCAGTGGAGGGCTCCGGGAATACTGAGCATCTCTGAGTACGCGGGCGCCCGGCGTTTCACCTCCATTGAAAATGCGGCCGCTACAGCCGGGATTAGAACCCGCGACCTGCGATTCAGCAGTCGAGCACCTTTACCACTTGACCGGCGTGAAGGGTCTTGCGTTTGATTGCACCGCCGAAGCGAATTTCAGAAGCCATGTACAAAGATAAGCTCGGTGGCTGCATTTTCGGTGGAGGTGGAAATGCTGCAGGCCCGCGTGCTCAGATTTGGGTGCACGTTAAAAACCCCTGGGGGTAGAAATTTCTGGAGCCCTCCACAGCGGTGTCTCTCATAATCATATGGTGGTTTTCAGACGTTGAAACCCACATATTATTATTAAAAATAAGCTCGTAATTCAGATCTGCTCTACTAGGTGCCACAACTAATCCAGCTGCTCGCGAGAAAACCATCTGCTCATTCACTGAACTAATTCAATTAATTTTTCTAATTATCCTGAAAGTTTGTTCGTTGTTGTCTTTAGTAAAGTTATGCTCCAACATCATATGTAACGGATATAGCGTCTAACTTGAATCATCCATTTTGTCCCAGTTTTATCTTTTTCAACACATTTTTTTAATATTTGGAAAACCGAAACTAAGTGCTCGACCAGAAATGCTCAGAGGCACACACTCGTCGCTCGTATATATATTCAAGGGGCTCTTCCTCTGCTCATAAGATTGAAGCCACTCGAAGGTGTAACTGGGGTACGTGTGGTATAGCGAATATTGTTATAGTGAGCGCAATATATTATTATAATTCTCTATATTGAGTGAATAAAAAACATACGCTGAAACATCTCAGTGTTTGCCTTGCATATGACGCATATTATCTCATCAATAGTGACCGCCGGTGGTCTTGATATGAAATCTTGTAGTAGGAAGTAGCTCGGTTGTTTCAAAGGTATAGAAATGGCATGAAGTTCGCTTCTTATGCAAGAAGCCTTGTCTTTCTGACAAAATATAATGACATTATTCTGCCACGTCCACAAAATGATACAGCTTTACGTTAACCTCTCAGCCATGTTCATTTTTTTCAACTCGCAAGCACAGGATTAGTCGAATTGATCGGTTCTCCGTAAGCTGTTGCTATGCGCCGTTTGTTCGTGGTTACCAGGTCAAAACCTATTCATATGCAGCGAGGGGCGCCGCCAGAAATCTTTTTCGAGAGCGTTAAAGCACACTTTATGCAAGTTCGTGCGTGCGTATGTATGTGTGCGCGTATACATACGCAAGCTAAACTGAAAAAAAAATTAGGGGAATTTGAAGCCCCCGCCCCACCCTCCTCTTGGCTACGCCACTGTATGCGGCCTCGCAACAGAACAACGAGCGCAAGTCTCAGATCTTACTATGACAACTTATTTATCAATGTGGCACGTTTAATCTCCTATACGTATCCACGGTACTTCAACGTGAAACAATTCGTCGGCGCACCTGTCCAATTGGGATTTGTTTTCAGAGGTGTGGTCTTCCGTCTGACTCACCGGGCAAGCCCTATAAGAATACTCTCTCGCCCGTAATTTAGCGTGATCCCACCCATTTATTGCTGTGGAAGCCCTACGTGCAGGCCCCGACTCATCCACCTACGCGCAAGCACTTTAAAGCCCTCGTGACACAGACTTTCGTTACCTGATGACGCATAAGGTAGAATTACGGGGCCATTCACTCTCTGTAGCAATGGGATGTCCTCGACCCGTTTATGGCTCTGTAGATTCCATTCAAACAAATTGTACAATCTGAATCACACTTACTAGAGCAGCCAATAGGCCGCTTTCTGGCATCATTTTTTTTGTCAAAGATATGCAGAGACCGACGCCGTAGTGATGTGAAATGGAGTCATGCCGCATGATGCTAAGTTCTTGTGCTGTAGTTCAGGCACGAATGGAAGCTTGTATCTGAGGCGAGGTAGCAGCTGCGAACGATGACGGCGCTCCAGCCACCCGCTCGATCACTCTCAAAAAGTGTAATTCAGACTGTACAACTAATCACCGCGTGCGCAATCGAAAAAGAAACTTACCAACTTCAGTGGTAGCGACGTGACTATTCGAAACGGCGAGCATACAAAGAAAAGGAATTTCAAAATGTTTAGTGCAGTAGCAGCAATTTTTCATTTTAGTAACGGTGGATCACAAACGCGTGGCCATGAATAAATAGCTGACCTTGCTGTGACGCTTATAACCACGAAGAAATGACGCTCCTTACTGCATCAAGGACACTCATAATTTCTATCTCAGATTCCCGTAAAACAACTAAGTGACCCAGGTGCCAGTGTGTTTTGATAACTTTAATACAAACTATAGTTGAAATACGTATTAAGACATATTCTGGTACCCCTACTCCACCCCCGCCCACCGCAAAAAAAAAAAATAAAGACAAGACTAATAATATTACTAGAGGAGAAATCGAAACAGACTCAGGAAAGTCGTATTATGTTTCGTTATCACTTAAACGACCTCTCGTTCACTCGACCGGTGCCAAAATGCACTAAGTGGTCCAGTATACAAGATCATTTCACTGAATTTAATTTCGACTTACACAGAGCTGTTGCGATTTGAGTGTTTCGTAATCGTACACCTAACACACCGTCCCCTCCACTCGCCACCCCACACACCTACACCTTATTTCCACTATAAGGAATTTTCATTTTTAACATGAATGTTGCTTATAACGCCCCCCCCCCCCCCCAAAAAAAAATATAAACAATTTTGCTTAAGTATACACAAATAATGAAAATTCATCCAGCCATGTATCTTGATTATAGATTAACGGTTGACGCTGCCTCCTGCTACAACGTTCATTTTCCTTTATTTCTCCAACTACGCACGTTCTCTGCTTTAGGTCTCTTAGATAAACCACAATATGAGACATTACGTACCTCAGCGTACGTATGCAAATACAATCATTTCTTCAATTTCTGTATATATGTAAACAGCCCACCTCGATTCTCTCCTCTCTTTAACCGTTACTCCCTCCCAACCTCATGATGTCCAAGTGTGAGCTGCTGGACCCTAGAAAGTTACGCCGGTTATCATTACTTTCTTATTCCTTTATGATTATTATTTGCTCTCACGCTACGAAAAAGTACCACACTACGCAACGAAAGTATGAGGTTTGAAGGGGACTCCCTAGCACATCCCAAGTCTCTTTGGAATCGCAGAAATAGCAACTCTTCCTCACCTCCGCTCTGTCAGACCGTACTTTCGTGGAAGCCCCCAACTACGCACCTGAAGGTACTTGACCTCCTTCTCGAGGCCCTCGATCTGCTGCTCCTTCTCCTCGACTTTGCGTCGCAGCACGCTCGTCTCCTGCTCCTGCAGCTCAAACTGCATACGCAGTTCCTCGAGCGACACCTCCTCGTCGCTGTCGCTGTTCTCCGACAGGCTATCGCGCTTGCCGCTCAACTTGCGGATCTGCAGCATCAGCGTCTCGTTCTCCTGCTCGATGTTGTTCAGCTTGCGTCGAATCGTCTTGTTCTCCTCCTCGGCGAACCGAAGCTGCTCCCGGAGGTCGGTCTCACGCTCCATCGAGTCGTAGAGGTCCTTGCACATCGTGTCGTAGTCCTTGCCCATCACGGCCTCCTTACTTTTCAAAGCCTGCGTGAAAGGAAAGCGCATACAGATTGAGAAGTGGCAGTTCTGCAATGGTTAAACATTTAGCTAGCTGCTTGAATGTCTAACCCTAAGAGCTTGGCGTCTGAGCTCCTTTGCAACTCGAGCATATTGTGGTGACTTGGCGGTTACGGTGCGGCGCAAGTAAGTGCGATGTCACGGTTTAGATTCTAAAAACGGCAGCGCGGGAATGTTGTGAGACCTTGATTTTATCGAGTCTATATTCGTACGTTGATATACGGTTTCGACACTGACATTTTGTACTTTTATTAGAAATATGTCAACGCTTTTCTATGTTATTGTGATGTCGGCGCTCAAAAAAAAAAAAAAAACCGCCGGGTACTCCTTAGCTCTTAGAGTTGTCGAGCACAGAATACAGAGGGTCCAAAGTTTCTAAGCATAACTAATCCGCAGCACATACAATTCATCAACTTAGCATAGCAGCCAACACATAGCATAACAGCCAAAACAACAATTTCAACAATCACGTGTATGTATATACACGGTGACGTTTAAGAAAATAGTTGACGAACAACCGTTACATACCATGAGTAAAAAAATAGTGAATAGTCGCCGAGGCATACTGTGCCATTAAAATCAAATAACGCCTAAATGTGCTAGTGACATCCAAGAATACCACTGTATAAAAATATCCAATGTCTTTAGAGCGCACTTCTGCAAACCTCTTGTCGGCCGTGGGCCCAACTGTTCCCTTAAACTTAATGGTCTGCGATCTAATGCCATTAACGCTGATTTAGGTCGGATTCATGGTGTGTCATGATGTGGCCACTCTAGGGAGGAGGTGATATATGTCTACATCAACGATTTCACAACCGTGTTCAGGAGTAAGGCAAGGCTATAAAAATGCTTGGTGTGAGGCAGTCATCATCATCATCATTCTCCGCCTGTGTTAGTCCACCGCAGCACGAAAGCCTCCAGTTTACCCTATATCCTGTGTGAGCTGATTCCGTTTTATTCCTGCTAACCTCCGAATTTTCGTCCCTTCACCTCAGTGTTTAGTCTTGACCTGTCGGTGAGGTTTTCAAATTCAATAGGAGCGTCTACATATGATAAAAATCGGAGCACTCATAATTTTGATCAAATCACGTGTTTCTGAGCACAGTTAAAGATTTTGCCTATAAAATGCTGCACAATTCATTTTTTGATATTTGAATAGGAACCGAATAACCTTAGCGATATGTTTGTGGTGCTGCTTCATCAGCTGCTGTGTTGCCAGGAGTGTTGCGATGTCCCGGTATCCACTGGAACATTATTTCATGAAGGTAGTGGTTTGCCTTCGTGAGCTCTGCAAGGGTCTCGTAGATCAGACTATCATTGATTATCAGACTGTCTGTGGCACAAAAGCGAAAACGCTTTTGTGCCACAGAGTGATGTTAGTGCCACCTGTGACTTACTGAAAGTACCCACTCTTGAGCATTTCTTACAGAAATGATAAATTTTATAGCGCTTGGGATACTGAACAGTTCAGCTGTTGTAGATGATGTCACGCGAGATAACTTTAATGAATCTTGTACATTAAGTTGCCGTACAATAAATGATGAAGAGGAAAATGGTGGTTCACTGGAGCCCTCTGTATAGACATGAAAGTAACCCGGATATCGCATATATATCTGGTAAGCGTTGTTGGGCGGCTCATGCAACTAGACGCGCTATATATATATATACATATATATATATATATATATATATATATATATATATATATATATATATATATATATATATATATATATATATATATATATATATATAATATATATATATATATATATATATATATATATATATATATATATATATATATCTCACGGCTGGTTATTTTTTCATCCACTTTTCTTTCTTCTTATTTACATTCAATTGGTTCTAATAACTTTCCCTGTACATTCCTTGGCATTACTGTCTGTTAGATCTCATGAATATTGTGTTAAAACACGGAAAAACGAGCCCTTAGGTATACACTTCTTTCCCTTATATATATATATATATATATATATATATATATATATATATATATATATATATATATATATATATATATATATATATATATATATATATATATATATATATATATATATATATATATATATATATATATATATATAGCAACTATGCAAGTATAGTTGAAAAGTTTATTCCTTGGCAGTGTACTGGCATTTCACTTACACTTTCGTTATGAGCACAGATTGCATTCCTTTGTAATATTGCCAGAGGCAATCAATACGACTTCATGTTCATTCTCAATTGCCGATAAAGTACTATTCTAAGAAATCGATGCTGTCTCACAGTCACTATAGGTCATCCTTCTATACTAAGATTGGTATTCTTTAACTTCCTTCGGGTGAAGGGCAAAACTGTTGTCTTTGCACGACAGTCTTCTCGTTAAACCATCCACGAGGCAGCTGAATAGAAAAGGACAAAGTAGACTTCCATGGCATTGCCTGCTTGACACTGTATTCTGCACTCTTTCCTTGATCCGTCTGGGTGAATATTTTGCGACTTGATAAGAATTCATAAATTCCTCGCAAGCAACTGCCAGACACCCTGAGTTCCAACTTATTTAGCAAAACATGCACGTGACTGATATTGGGAATAGCCTCGTCATGTTCGAGAATACTGCGATCACCACGTCACTTACTGCCACCGTCACGTAGTATTTTTTTTTTGAAAACCTGTTAAATAGTTGGACAACACATCAGTTTCGCTGCACCACCACTGAAGCCGCGTGTCAGTCATCTTCTCATTCACCTTACATAAACAACTTGTGAAGCTGACTGGACGAAAAGAATGAAGATTCAAGGGCGTCATACACGGTTATAAAATTGGAATATTTCGAGCGAGTTTCTAAAGTTGCGGTATAATTTTCTTCTACACATAGCTGATTACACATAAGAGAGCTTTTTTTTTTGCCAGTCACCCTATATACGGTTTTCTAGCATATTGTAAGTCATGCCATCAGGCCTAGCAGCAGACTTTCGGCGATATGAAGCAACTGCGCACTGTATACAGCTCACATAATGTGAATGCAGTCTCTAGCTTAGGATCTAGTGCTCAATAACAAGCATTAATATTCTGCCTTGCTCCGGCAAGATACTTATTAAATGCTGCATAACCTGACGAAGAGTCAGGTCTAAGCTCAGTCTGCTACCGTGGTTCATGAATCTAGTTACTAGAACGCACAGCGTTGTATTTGTTAAATATGGCGGCAGACAACAGATTACAGAAAAATTGGCCGATCTTTTTCGGAGTTTAAAAACGCCGTGCAAGCTTTGTCTTCGTTGTTTTTCTAAAAATCAAGCACCGTAAACATCGAAATAGTCGCATGCGCCACGGAACAACGTTTCCCAAGACTGCTGCTTCTGCACACTTGTCTTTAGTCAGTGCCAACTCGTTTGCCTCAGGCGCCGTTTTGTTTTTATCACACTGGGAGGGCCGCAATGTGCGGGCGCTCCAGTTTATCATTATTGTTGGTTTGTACGCGACTCTCTCCGCAACACACCTGCAAGGCTTAATGTGCCACCTATTCATCAAGCTCTCGGAGGAGACGCCCGGAGCACTGTTTTAATGCTAGACGCCAGTTCCTTGGCACAGTTTCAAGTGCCGGCGTGTGTTCACTGGCACGAAAGCGCGCCCAGGTTATTGTCCAAAAGAATGCGACTGCCCCATCCGAGTTCGCGGACAGGGCAAGAAATAAAGGACACTGCAAAGGAACACTTACTTGGCCCACAATAACGCCTTTAGCCCCGCTGCCCACTTGCTTCCTGAGATTGGCATTGTCCATTTCGAGCTTAGTTTTCGCATCCTTAAGCACTTCCAGTTCCGTGGCAAGCTTAACGGAGAGTTCGTTCGCCACATGTAGCTCATCTTCGAGCACTTTCATTCTCATCTTGTCGACTTCGATTTGCGCAGTCTTCTGGAGCTCCGACACCTTGTCGTCCAGCTGTCCTTTCTCGAGTTCCAGCTGTTCGCAGCGCCTCTCCGCTTTGCGCAACTTGAACTGAAGCACGCGACAATTCTTCGACGTCGATTCAAGTTCCTTCTTAAGGTCCTGGTATTCGCTCTGCTGGTCTTCACGGTACGAATCTTGCAGTTCTTCGAGCTGCTCTTCGAGGTCCTGCATTTCTTTCTTTATCTCTTCGTTTTCTTCCATGAGCTCCTCGCACAGCACCTCAGCCTGCTGAAGTTTCACTCTCAATGCTTCTGTTTCTTTCTTCGCGTTTTCCGCCAAGTCCCTCTTGTCCACTTCCTGCTGAAGTTCCTTCACCTCCAGCTTGAGACACTTGTTATCATCCTTGAGCTCTTCGTTAATGGCTTCGAGCTCATTAATCTTAGACCTCAGCTTTAGTATCTCGGAAGCCGTCTTATCGAGCGCCTTTTTGTCGGCGTCTGTGACCTCCGACCGTCTCTTCTGCATATCGATCTTCTCCTTCTCGAGTCTCTGGACCTTCTCTTCAGCCGCTGCGAGTTGACTTCTGAGTTTAGCCACGGTGTTTTCCATATCCTCGTAGCTGTCATAGTAGGCCAACGTTGTGTCCGTGGTTTCGGTCGTTTCCGTGAGCGCCACGCTCTCGTCATCGTCGTCGTCATCGTCGTCGTCGTCATCGCGTTCCTCCTTTTGCGGAGTGGCGGTCTTCACTTTCAGGATGAACTCGACGTCCGCCGACGGTGACGCGACAGTTGCGGAGTCCGTGGGCAAGGAGGGATACAGGTCCTTTTCCACTTCTTGTGCCTCCACGATCTTGATGCGCTGGCTTCGTCGGCGTTCTTTCGCGCCGTACGAAGAAGGCCGTCGATTCTGCTGCTGTTGCGGTTCGGTGTCGCTGCTCTGAGATTCGGAGTCGCTTTTGTTCACTTGCAGTCGTGACGAATCGCTGGAGTCGCGGGCACTACCGTTTGTTGCCGTCTCTTCGCCGATCTCAGCGGAAAGCGGACGCCGTCTTCGGAGCTTGACGCTGGTGGCTTCTTCCTGAGCGTTCTCGCTCTCGTCCACGGTCCGCCTTCGTCTCACGACAGCCTTGGCCTCTTCCTCCTGCGTGGCGTTTGCAACAACTGCCACTGTGGTCGGCTTGGCGGCCTTCGGCTGTCCAGCCGCTGGCGCGCGGCTCGTTGGTGAAGGCGACGAGCCTGCAGCAACACGTGTATTTTGGGGGTTTGGACAGCTGTCCCTACGACTCTGCCCGGGCTGCTTATCCGGTTGACGTTCGTTCGTCGTAGTTTTGGCGGCAGTTGCGGGGGCCGCCGCGGTTGGCTTGCCATGCTCGGAGACATCGCGGAAGCAGCGCTTGCACCTCGAGGCCTTGGCGAAGTGGGGCACGAATCCGGGGCACTCCCCGGCACTCATTGTTCCGCCGCGTCACGTTCACATCATAATAAGGCCGACGACAATCGATGATAACCACGTGCCCGTAGCTGCCGAAAAGCGACACAGTCCATTGTCGAGGACCGGAGCATGCCACCACTGCATCGAATAGGACGCCAGCCACATTTCGCGTGCATGCAGCAGGCTGAGAAAAGCGAGGCAGACCGGCGCTCTGTGGGCGCAGTAAGCCTTTGCAGAAGGGATCCATAAATACCAGCCCTGGGACCGACCGAGGCGGCGAGGTATTTTTGGATTCGAGACATGCCGCTGCGGTGGCAGCCCCAGTGCCGCATCAGTTCCCGGCCATCCGTCCTGCACCCTTGCTGAATGGCGGGAAGTAGGCGCGAAAGAGCATGCAGCGCCCTCTAAACACCGGCGCGTACCGCTGCTAGGCACTCCCCACTTGTCTCAGGAGCCTTCAGTTAGCCGTGGCCACAATGCGGCGCGTCGCCGCGTCATTGAAATGGCGCGATGGAATCGTGCCTCTCGCTCCCCTGGCTTCACGCATCGGCGGTGATCAAATGTGTGACGTAAGCTGCGGTTGCGCGAACAACGGTATTTGAGAGAAAGCATCGGAAGCGAGGGGGATAATTATCAACCACGTCTACACGAAGCAGGGTTTCTGGTGTATCATGTTGATTGTTTTCCGTCACCTAAATACTGTTGCGGCTGCTGCTGCTGCGTGTTTCTCTTTCCGTGAGTTCATTTCAATATGAGCGACTGTGAAGGTTTGCATGGTTATAAATTCCTGTTGTGCGGAACCGTGCGTCAAGACGAAACACTTTAGAATCAAAGTTCATAATATTCTACACGACGCATATAGAATATACAAATCACACATGACGATATGTCGTATAGCTAGTCTCTCTGTGACTATGTTTGGATGTAGCATATCTTGAATGATGGCACAAAGAAGGCGTTGTCTTGAAAACTACAATAAACACGTATTCAAAACAACAGTGTTTCGATTCGAGAATTGACTTTCGCTACTTTATTGCTCGAATTCCTCAAACCAGTCATTAGGCAACGAAAGTTGATGTGAAAGCCCACCTTTCTCCTTTACTTTTTTTCCTTGTTTTCAGCCTCCGCCAAGTGAAGCACATTTTCTTGGTATACCGGATCTTGTCCGAGATATGTGCAAGCGTCTCTCAGGCGCAGGGTTCGGATCACACTGTGCTACAAACACTGAGTACTACACATACATCCTGCGTCCCTGACATGCACGCCCTGAACAGTTTTCTGGAAGGCATGATAATAATAAAGTGTCACATTCATCGTGTGTGCGAGGCAGCCGAAACCCATTGCGATTTTGTTATGCTGGTATTAAATAGGCCGATCACAAGCTTATAATCACTCCTTTAGAACATTATGAGCTACGTTTATATTTATTCATTAACAATAGCTTACAAGCACCTTATCCCAGCCCCGCCGCGATGCTCTAGTGGCTAAGGTACTCGGCTGCTGACCCGCAGGTCGCGGGTTCGATTCCCGGCTGCGGCGGCTGCATTTCCGATGGAGGCGGAAATGTTGTAGGCCCGTGTACTCAGATTTGGGTGCACGTTAAAGAACCCCAGGTGGTCGAAATTTCCGGAGCCCTCCACTACGGCGTCTCTCATAATCAAATGATGGTTTTGGGACGTTAAACCCCACAAATCAATCAATCAATCAATCAACCTTATCCGAACATGGTGTATGGCGAGTAACAAGGCACAGAAGTAATTTTATGAGACAAAAAAAAAGTCAGCGTCCATATAGCAGTTAATACCAATTCGTTAGCATTGCAGCCACGGATGGCGTACAGGCGTATTTGAGCAACTGCAGTGCATACTGTATAACCTCGGTGACAGAGCAGCCAGCTGTAGAGATATATAGGTCTGCATGGTGTCTGCGCAAGAAACAACTTTCACCAAACTGTCATTGTGGAAGTGCACCAGGCGTCGTTTCGAGATTTACATTTCATTATAATTTATGTTTAGCTAAAGCGGAATCCTTAGATGCCTCATAAAAAGAGAAAAAGTGGCTCTCGGCGGTTGCGCTGAAACGAATGATACAAAAAGAAAAAGAACAAAGAACACGTCATGAAGTCATCGGTTGCCGTCATATGTGTCACCAGACGATGACGTCACCACATGACATATAGTCGATTGATCAAATGTGGGACGATCTCGGAGGCCCTGCAAAACCGCGTGAGATGTAGGAAGCTTGCTGTGCTTCCGATATCGGAGGCAGTGCCAAAGTACGTGAAGGGTGGAGGGGGAGGAGGAGAACCATTGCAATCGATTGCGAACATGAAAGTAGACTTCGAGTCTTTTCAGGCGAATTAACCTAAACAAGTGCTTTAGTAAACGCGCATATTGGGACTCGGTGACTGTCAGCTTCACCGTCGCCGTCATTGCGGTTCAGCTTCCGGGAATACGCAACTGCGGACAGGCCACCGGCTTCCGATTAACAAAACGGATGATTTCCGCAGTTGCACGCATTGAACAGGCAATCGAGTCGACAGCAGTCAGGTAGATGCGAGTCCGTCGGGGCGAAAACTACAGGGAAAATGCACTCGCAATAAAGCTAATCTCAGGAGTGGATTGAGCCTTCCAACCACTAGGAAACAACAGGATATTGGGATTACAGGTGGAAAAAAAAAAGGGGGGGGGGGGGTGTCATCATACAGCCACCACTTCGACTGTTTAATCTTATTGCAGCTTCTCTTACTCTTACGCAAGAAAGACTGAGTATAAAAGCTAACAACGGCTGCTAACAACTTGAAACGATCATAATAATTACTAACCATGTGCAGTGACACCAAGAGGACGATCACATGTCAGGATTGAGGCCGCACGCCTTTTGACCTCTTCAGAGGAGAGTAAAAACGCCACCATTCCGTGATGCGCGTGAGATGGGAATACAAATCAGACGTCACAGCCTGAGCAGTTCGCTTCGGAGGAGTCAAGCCTGTTTAGCAGAGCGCAGAGATGATTATGGCAGTGCCCGTCTGTGAAAAGGTCTGTATTTTCAACACGAATCTATTCTTTCAAAATATTCTAGAATGCTGAATAATCGTTCTTTCTTCAATATTCTCAACGTCACATCTCAGAGGGAGGAGGAATGTATGTTTAGAAAAAGTGCTTAGTGATTTATAACACTTCGTACTCTACTACTCGAGGGCAGTAAGCCTTCGAAGACATTTTATTGAATGTCCTGTACAGGACTGAACAGCCCGCCTAACTACTACCACACCGGAACCGGGAGCTCAAGCCTCCTGGCCCTATCATGAGCGTACTGAACAGCTATAGAACTTGCTGCTTGCTCTGTGCGACATATGATCATGCTTGAGAACCTGCAACGGGAGTGTCGTGTTTTCTTTTCTTCCAAATCATTGTCTTAAAGATGCATGCTACGTGAAAACCACAGGGGTGGCGCCAATGGGGTTCTGCATGGGGGGTTGGAACTCCAGGACCCCCTCCTCTTCATTTTCACAATCGTCTTAAACTCGCGCCTTCGCCAACGTCAATGGCGGCGCCAGGATACTTCTCATGGAGCGAGCAGAGGAGGGGTAGACATGTAGGCACACTTAGCATGATCATAGAGAGAATCATGGTTGCCTCACCAGCAGTACAGTGGAAGTATCACAATGTAATCATATCGTGGTTTTGGGTAATATAAGAATGTGTATATATTTACACTTTGTGAAATACTAAAGGAAAGCCCCGCCGCGGTGGTCTAGTGGCTAGGGTACTCGGCTGCTGACCCTCAGGTCGCGGGATCGAATCCCGGCTCCATGGGGCGGCTGCATTTCCGATGGAGGCGGAAATGTTGTAGGCCCGTGTGCACAGATTTGGGCGCACGTTAAAGAACCCCAGGTGGTCGAAATTTCTGGAGCCCTCCACTACGGCGTCTCTCATAATCATATGGTGGTTTTGGGACGTTAAACCCCACATATTAATACTAACGGAAATTAGTGGTGGTGGTAATGTTGTATGCATTACTGAAAGAAAAGTGTAACTGAATTCATCACACATTGCTCTGAAAAAAGAAAAAAAAAAAAAACACCTTACCCCTCTCTGTCACCAATAAGAAAGTGTAACGGGTCACCGTTAGCATTACCGAAAAAAAAAAAAAGTAATGGGCGTTGCTTCTGCCATGGTCTAGAATTTTGAACCACGGCACCTTCGTGCTCAGTGGGAGCTCCCAATAAGAAATTTATGAAGCTCATACTTAAGTTTCATGCAAACGTTCTAGTCCGAACAACAATTTTACTTGAAATAGGGATTCGACCAGAATAATTAGAAGAAATGTGTGGCCCCTAGGTCATTTTATGGTATCCTAAAATCGGCATTACAGTTGAATACATTTTTTTCTAACTCTTTGGCACGTGGTGAAGCCATTGTTCTCAACGTGACATAAACAAATAAGAACATCACCGTCAACACTCTTGGCAAAGAGAACATCGCTGAACTCTCGACAAGCTTGCAGCATTTACAACAGCATGTTTCTACTAACAAAATGAATGTGCAAATTTTGTAGTTTTAAATAAATGACTAAACGTGCGGGAAATAGTATTTCCACATATAGTTTTGTAACTTTAACCTGTAATATAGCGGCTAGAATTGCGAGTTCGTATACTAAAGACATGTTCAAGGTCAGCCTAGATGGATCCAGAAATTACACGTTCAATAATCAGCAATTCAGTAACAGGAAACGCAGTCGCATGTGCATGCCGCAGTAAGCAAGACTAATTCTGAAAACAGAGTTTATAAACAGTGCAGGAGTATCGGAAAGACTTCTTCCTTATGAAACTGCAACTCGCTGAGTACAAACAACAGCTGCATTTTCAGAGCTGTCATCGCAAGCTTGCCTCGCTTCTTAGATAGGTGGTGGTGCTTAGATGTGGTGCTCCTGTATTCACGCGCGCAAAGTTTTCCACGAGCCTGCTCAGCGCGGCGTCACGCGGTACCAAGCTACCTTGACAGTTGTTCATCTACAGTTGGCCGTGATGTCGAGAAGGCGTTTCCAAAGAAGTCACCATCCGTTTTGTTGGCGTCAGGCCTCTAACAGCCCCGTGTCTTGACGTCCGCAAGCTGAGCAAAACCTCGACAGCTCGCTTTTGACAATTGCGAGAGCCACATTTAGCTTCACTTCGTTCATAATATGTACACAACGACTTCAACCTCAATAGAAAAGTAGTCGAAAGTAGCCGATTCATATATGAAACTTCGGCAATTCGCCCCGTGCGACGGAGGACCCCACGCGGGGCCAC